ATTAATTATATTATATTATTATTAATTATATTATATTATTATTAATTATATTATATTATTATTAATTATATTTGCAGAAAGGCGAATTTTGGCGAATTTTTGTTGGCGAATTTTGCAGAAAGATTCAATTTCCTCTTTTATTCAAAATTTCGAAAAGAAAAAAGAAGTTTAAGGATGAAAGACAAAAATAACGTAAAATAATACTTTTGTTTCAATATAAAAATATCTATTTATATTTATATGAGCCAATCTATTTTTCTAATATATTTTTTACGAATTTTTTCTTTCAATGTACAAACTTTTATGCTTTTTTTTTTACAGCATATGCTTAAATTTCAGAAGTACTAGAAAATTATCAATGATTCTCGAATTTGTTAAGTGTTAAAAGCTATTTAATAATCTGTAAAAAGTTAAGTACATTGGGACGTCCGTCGTGTAAAATTTGAAACAATCAGTTTCAAATAAAATAATTTAAAAAAAGTAATAATAATAAAAAGCACCAACAACTTTTCTTTCGTTTGGCATGGAAGAAATAAATGAAATATTGGGCACATTTTAAAAGAATTTCATTAATATAATTTCAGTTAATTTTCCAGACATTTTATCAGAAATGTATCTTAAAATATGTTACAAGAATTTCAAATATAAAATAGTTTTAATGTGATTTTTAATGTTTCTCTACTATCTCAAAAAGCAAACGTAAATTTTTATTTCACTAAACAACAAGAATTCTCGCTTATCGAAGCAAATTTCAAAATTAATTCTAGTTCCATGCATTGTTTAAAGTTATTTAAAAAATAACATTTGAGCTAAATAGGAACAGGATTACTATTTAGCTTAGGGAAATTAAATACTTTTAAGAAAAGAGAGAGAAATATTGATTATTTAATTCATTTCCAAAAATCACTGTATAAAATGCTGTTTGAACTAAAGCACTAAATTATTTAAAATACGTAATACAGTATTTTTATATAAATTTTAGAACTCTTTAGGTTCGTGACTGTTGATGGCGTTTCTGAGGTGACATCAGAGTATAAAAGGATAAATGCGTGTTTTTTTTTTTCCTTTCCGATTTAATGTGTATTGAGGGAAACAATTCTATGATATTGCAGTAGATGATTCTTCAACTGTCCAGACGAAAGAAACCTACTAAACCATAATATTTCCTAGCATCACTTTCTTTCCATAACTGATTATAGTTACATAACATATCTACTATAATCCATCATATTTCATTGGAACTATTGCTTATGTTGAATTTCTTTAGCCACAAATCATTAGACTATATTTTTAGAATTCGTGAAAAGAGTTTCGTTTTTTTTTTTTCCTTCTAGGTTTTAGTTGTTTCTTGTAATAATGTTAGATGGCAGCACTAATGCATTTTTTAATCAATTGCAGGAAGATTTTACAGGAATATTTATTAAAAAATTTTTAATGACAAATTGAAAATTGTTAATATTGCTTAGTTTCAAAAACAGAACAATAAAATAAAAGATTTTTCCGAAACATTCAACAAATAATTAAAATATGATGTGCACAGATTTTATATAAGCTTTATTAAACTACTTTTACAATTCAAATTAAAAATAGCAAGCTATATCACCATCATTAGATATCAAGCTTACGCAATAGTTCCAAATTAAAAAAAGATTTTTAGTTAAAAAACACAAACAAATAAATAAATACATCTTTTTTTTTGTTAAAATACAATAACTAAGTTAAGAGATAGTGAAAAGGCAAAAACACTTTTCGTTAAGTTGAACTTTTCCTTACAATAAATTGAAAATTGCAATTAAAAAATGAATAAAATATGAATTTAAAAATAAATAAATAAACTGAGAAACTTTATAAACATAGAAATTAATGAATTTAAAAAAAAATTTGAACAAAAAAATTTTGAATAAAATAATCAATCCCCTACAATCCCAAGCGATGCCCGAAGACGTCTCTTTTAAAATAATATAAACAATAAGCAGTCGTCAGGAGTATCAAATAGTTGCTGACTTTTATTTTATTTTATTTTATTTTTCGTTTCAAGAATACATTTAATCTGAAACACATTCACTTATAAAAATTCATTTCGCTAGTGCATTGCCTTGTAGAAGTAAACTTTTACTTGCCTGAAAAACTAATTAAAAATAAAACAAATTTATGAATTTCCTGCAACTACTTGAGTCATTTTTATATACAAAAATACATTATATTCTATAGGCCATAACTATAGATTCTATATTTGTATATTCTATGACTATAGATGCAATAATCTATAAGTTACTGTGGGGAACATTTTTCTTTCCTGTTGCATAAGATTTTTGAACTTAAATACTTTTATATCGATGATTTCAAGTCAAATTTATAATCGGTTTCCCTCTCCAAGCTACAAATTTTAAAAAAAAAAAAAAAAACATTTTTAGTCAATTTTTTGTTAATAATAATAATGAATAATTTGAAGTAAGTTTAAAAAGTTACATATAACAGAGGGGCGTGTAAATGTTTCGACAAATTTCAAGGCACATTATTAGGATTAAAATTACAAGGGGATTGCAAAAAGACATCGCATGCCCAGAAATGTAGTCACGAACCACAAAGGGTGTTTCCCTATCATGAACTGTTATGTGCTCCCTCACCTACCCCTTAGCATCCCCTAGCCGAGTACGACGACATTTCCGGGTGATGATTCCTACGTAATTTCAATCCAGATAATGTGCCCCGACTCCTCCTGACGTTTGTCGCAACATGTACGCCAGCCCCTGTTAGGTTTAATATTTTTAAACTTGTATAGTGCGCCTAGAAAAGAACAAAAAAAAACAGACTACTGTGAATAACTTTTGATCCCTAGTGATCAGATTTTCACGTTCTAGGACTCAATCTTAATCATCCTTCGGTACTAACGCTATGCTAACAATTTTCTTTTTATAGCAAATGTTTTGGAAGAGTTTACATGGCAAAATTGTAGACAGAATTTGAAAGATCATGCTTAAAGTTTTTTGAAATCGGGTCCTTTTTACTCATGCGAACTTTGCTTCGACCTTGACCAAAAGCAGCTTATGAAATTAAAAGCTTTTCTGCACCACTATAGTTAAGAAAGCATTCTAACATAAATATTGCAGTCCTATAAAATGATTTCAAAATTGCTAATATTAAATTAGAAAGAAAAGTTACAAACTTCCCTTACTCATTTTGGTCGATCCGAATCTTGCATGGGTAATAAAAATTCCATTTATTTTAAAAGCTTCAAGCATGGCGTCTCAAACTATGCCAACAGTTTTGTCAATCTTACAAAAGAATTGCTGCTTAAAGTAGGATGGTTCACATAGACTTAGGATAGAAGTGTTTCCATATTTTTGTCCAATCCTTGTACTTTAAGCATCAGACAGTCTTCCATTTTGTTTTTTTGGATACAGGACTAACAACTTTCTACGCTTTTTGTAAAAATTTGTTCTAGTGGTTACTAAGTTTATGTTTTAATGAATTATTTTTTTTAATATTCTTATTAACTTCCCATATCACTACATGTTAATTATTTAAAAATTAATATGCCATTATTAATACGCCACTTTTTTCACGTTCTCCCGAGGTGAGGCTTTTAAAATTACTAAAAATTCTGAAAGCTTCGGATTTTAAATGTCTGACACTGTATAAAGTATTTTGCAAAGAGCGTAGTAGTTGGCAGGCATGTATACAATGTAAAAATGTAATGCTGGTATGTTTAGGCTTCTTGGTATAAGTTACAGAATAATGTATGAGTTATTTCTTCTCTTCCAGCAATTTTACCTTGGCAGTAGTGGTACTCAAAATTGGTTCATAATAGGTCCTATAAGAACATGCTCTTAGGAGCCAATATTGGGATGTCGAAATTTTTTAATATTGGTCCTAGAATGGCTATTAATATTGAGCAATAATAATTCTACATAAGACCGATATTGGTTGGAAAGTGGTCGTAAAATATCGGGGGATATTTTAATATTGGTCCTAGAATGGCTATTAGTAATGGGCAATAATAATTCAACACAAGACCGATATTGGTTGGATAGTGGTAGTAAAATATAGGGGGATATTTTTAATATTGGTCAATAATAATTCTACATAAGACCCATATTGGTTGGAAAGTGGTCGTGAAATATCGGGGGAAGTGGACAGTTCTATATAGAGCAAGTATAGGAAAATATCGGCCTTTTTTTAAGCTTACTAAGATAAGATTAATGAATATTTGTCCAATGAGGGGCCCCAAGTAATTTTGCTGCTAGGCTTCTGTATAAGTTGCGTAAATAATATTTTATTACACAGTGCGTTCTGTAGTTTTATTTATCATACAGTGACGCAGCTTTAAATAACAATATAGTCATTTTTATTCATGTCTAATCTCCTTTTCTCTTAGGAACGGATAAGCGTTTCTTTTCCTCCTTAAGGAACACTTGATGATGAATCTCGAGGTGTCAATGTTTTGGCAATTATTTTTAAACGCTGGCCTAAAAAAAAAAATTTTATGTATAAAGGAATTGCATTATTTAAATCATCATTCAATAATAATTGCAGAAAATTTTAACATTTATTATCATATAAAGTTACCTAAGTTACTAAATTACGTAAAACTATTTCGTACCATATTTTTTAGAGAAGAAAATAATATATTTTCTGCATTAGTTTTCTTTTGAACTTTGAAAGAATCGTTTCGGTTCCGAAAGTAACATGCTACTTTTAAACTTTCCTTTCAAAATATTATATAGTACGAAAATCTCCCATGGTTATCCCACTACACAGCGTTTAGCGTAACAGTTATGCAACTCGGCCTGAAGGCCTTTTCGCTAACACTTTAATCAAAACTTCATTACATTGACTAAAATTATTTCTAATGTATTGAGGGATACAATCATTCTAAATAATATATTTTAATCAGGAACCAATATTAGAGCATAAATTTTGACAACTAACTTTTTAATATTTAAAACTTTTCAAAAAAATTTTAAAGTGGCTAAGAGCAGCATTGTCATAGTATTTGCCACAGTTTGCATACATGACCTTAAAGAATATGCATTATTTTTATGTGCATTATAAAAATTTATATCAGCTTATTATATTGATATTAAACTAGAACGAAAGCTTGGAACTTATGCTTTTTATAAAAATGAAATTTACATTAATAATAAGTTGAATCTTATAACGTTTCTTTAAAAACAACTTTTTACTTAGATTCTTGAAAGTGAAAAAGCTAAAAAAGAGGAGTTTTTGATCGTCTGTTGTTATATCAATTTGCCTAGTGATGATAGCGTTTGTTAACACAGGGCTGGGAGTGGGTCTAAATTTATTAAAAAATTTTAAGAATACTTTCTCAGGAATATACAGAATATTTCATCAGTATTTTTATAAATAGAATAAAATTTAAATGCAAAATTTACAGAAATAAATAAATTAAAGGTAGCCCGATGTAATCGCAAGAAGTAATTTTGATAGAAAACACAAGTTTTTAATTAAAAATGTTATTGCTTTATAAAGTTTGCAGTAAAATAGGGTTTAAGTGCAACTGCCAGCTTCATCAGCCATTAGGAAAGATTTTTCAACGAGCTGAAGTACGAGGTATTAAGAATTTTTTTAACTCTAAGCAATTCGCCTAGACTTAAAAGTATAATTGCTCAACTGGCATAAACTTATATAGGTATGATAGTTCTATTAATTCACCATGGTCGGTAAAACAATTTAGGATTTAACAATTAAAATTACTAAGATGAAAATATAATCGTTGCTATCACTAAGAAAAAATTTCTTCAGCTACCTTACCCTACAAGGCAGCACCTTCATGATAATATTAAGATGAAAAATTGTATTTTATTATTATTGAACTGTTAAAATTTTCCAAGTGGGTACTAACCATGTGTAGGGTAAGGTAAGAAACATTATATGAGGTAATGAGGGTAGGTGCTATGCTGTCAAGGTACACAAGCTTTTGTCAAAATCTTTTATGATCGTTTTGTATAAATTTGGACGAATTTCGTAAAGACAGAATTCAATTTTGTCCTCTAAAGCGTGGATGATCATGAACTTTTTGACATAAATCTTAGATTTTAACCTTCTCCCTAAAAAAAAAAGGCCGAACAGTGTTAAATCACATGATCTAGGCGTCCAATTCTAATCACCAAAAAATGATGAATTTTTCAAGCACTAAACGTAACAATAACAATTCTCAACAAATTTCTAAAGCGACCGTTATTATTTTCCAGTAACACATCATTTTTTATAACTATGAACTATCAGCTGTCACCCTTTTTTGTTTCATAAACTTCATTTCATAGCATAAAAAGAGCAAAATTCAAATGTTGTGTAAATTTTAAGCCAACCATTGTCATAACAGACTTACTAACATTTATTTTCCAGTATCAAAAAAATAGATAAGATTTTAGTAAAACATTCATTTTCAAAAGCGTACTAAATAATTTTAAAAGAAAACTGAATAAATCTATTTTTTCTAAAGAAAGAAATTTATCAAGGCATATTTCAAAGTAAAGAAACAAATTTGAGCATTAAGCACTATTCGTTTAAACTCATTTAACCAGCAATGTGTTATGCTTTCTACATTTATTGTTACTATTTTCAGAAACACGTATAAAAAGATTTTTAATACTAATAAGTCCTTTTTCAGTTGCAGGATGGTAAAAAAAATTCTTTTCCATCATCAGTTTCAAAATCTTGAAAAAGAAAAAAAATTCTTCTCCAATTACCATTCCTTTAACTTACCATCAATAAAAATAATGTGAAATTTCTTTTCGCTGCTTAACTCAAGTAAAGAATGTGGAGACGAGTAAAAATAGTGATTACATCTTGCAGGATAACGAACCACATGATGAAGAAAATTGAAAATTAATGACTCTAGTTCGTTCGTAAAGAAGAATGAAAAACTAGTCGAAATCTTTTCTCTTTTTTTTAAATTCTCTTAGCTACGTAGAAACAAACTTTAGTTCTAGAAGCACTTTAATAAATTGGTTTTAGTGTCTTTGCCGAAATTCATTTTCTTTTATAAACTTCATCGAAGAATTTGTAATGTTTTGTAGAAATTTTTTTTAAAATCAAAAGAAATAAACACTAGTTCATGAGCTAAAACTTAAGAAATATTTCAATTAAATTAGTTGTGAGATTCATTTTAATTATTTGACTAGTTCTTTGATATAGAATATAATAATGTTTAATGTAACTTAAACAATTGGTTTAAAAATATTTTATTTATCAATTAAGTAATATAACGAGTATTGAATAACGTACAACATAGAATTGAAAGATAAGGAAGAAGAACAGTTTTAGTCCGTGAATACTGATTCTGAGAAAAATATGAACTTAAGGATTTTTAACAAAGTTAAGGATTTTTTTCTAAGTCTTGGATACCTTTTATGGTTCCCAATTGACTTAGAAAAATGTAAATAGGGGTAGAAAATTCAGGGTAGTAGAAATTTCCTATTCAAAAAAACCATTTTAATGTTTAAAGGTCTGATATTCTTCCAGATACATTTTCTTTGCAAAATAGCAATTGAGATGGTATTAAATGATTAAGTTTTGTCTCTTTTTTAAAACCAATTTTATACTTTTCTAAGCTATATGGGAACCCAGGTACCCTGTATTCGACGGGGTGCACAGATAAGTCGAATCTGAAAAGGTTGAAATAAAATGTATTATGTAAATACCATTGTTTGAATCCTTCCTTCTGAAATATTTTTAAGGCACAACTGGCACTTGGACGTACGTTATCTTTTACAAGATCTGTTTAATGAAAAGAAAGCTAATCAGTATGCGAAAATAAATCACACATCTAATAAACATGTCTAACATTGTTATTTTTAATAGAAACTTACCAGTACAAGGTACACCACAATTGTGTTTTGAACCGAGTCTGCAAAATTTGTCATTTATCTAAAAATTTAAAAACAAAATTGTTAAAAATGATGCGAAAATTTAATTTTGTATTATTTGTTATATATTTGTTATTTATCAGGGACCACGCGAGTATATCAAAGAAATCGTAATCATAGACAGCACAGATTGCGGAACATATAAAAAATATAATGGGAGCATATGGAAACTTATAGGAAACATTAGGAGAACATAGTAAAGCATATGAAGAACATAGTTAAATAACATATGAAGAACATAGAATCTCAAACGCCGCTAGATTTACATTCCAAATAGTAATAGAACAAATGACGCTAATTAGTAAACAAAAAGACGTTCTAAAAAACCATTTCTAGAAACTATTTTATGAAATATCGGAGAATTAGATATTTTTTAGAAGCAGCCAAATAATTTAATTTTGCTTTAAATAAATCAACAACTATAATTTATGTTTTGTATATTGTGTTGGACAAAATTAGAAATTTTTCTACGGACCATTAACCTGTTGTAGCAGTTTTAACAATGACCTTTTTTTAAAACATTTGATCACTTTTTGAAAACATTTGATCACTTTTTCAAAAATTGAAAATTTTAAACGATTAAGAAAATTATTGATATTAATAGTGTAAGATATTAATTTGAAGCATCTCTTGAAATAGGGTAAACAGAATAAGGTTCATTTCTAAAATGATGAAAATTTTCATAAAGCTTGGGTGAAATAAAGTAGTTTTCAGAATACTGAAAAATATTCAAAATAGTTCCATAGTTATTAAAAAAATAATAAAATGCAATTAAGTGGCCATCGAGTGGCAACTGGCAGACTATTTTTTTATTTTTTTTATCGTCATTTGTTTTATTTCGCAACCCTGTGCCGGTGGCAACAGCTAATTATGTCCTAAAGTTTGTGGATGAACGTTTTAAACGTTTGAACGGTTTTTTTTCGGAAGGGGGTAAAATGGTCATTTTAACTAGGTCAATAGTAGAAAATAAATATGTAAATAAAGTAGATTGAAAAAAAATATTTATGAAGTAGATGGTAGACCTGCGTCTGGCTAATCAAAATGATGGAGAATCAAAACTGAATTTTTATGAATACTATTATTTAAAAATTAGTATAAAATGTTCAGTTACTTGAAAAACTCCAAAATCAAAACTACCATCTTTTTGCTCCTCGCTTAAAGCTTGAGTGTTGAAACCACTTGCAAATTTTGCAAGACATACCCCTACAAAATATGACAACGGTTGAGTATATGGCAGATAATAACATTATGCACATAATAACATAATATTGCACACATTAACTTTCAGTTGACTTTTGTATGTAATAGCTACAACCTCTTATATACATTTATTGAAATGTCACTTTTTTCACTGTAAAATGAATTTACCACGAATTAATTGTACAATGTTGATTCTTCTCTTCGTTGCATTGAATTTATAGACATATTTAATTGCAAGTAAGACCTTTATCGAATTCTAAAACTGTTTTCGTTTAAATTGGGATTCTTATATATTAGTTTAAAAGAACTAACAGGTAGTGATTATTGTGAATAGCATGAATTTATTAGATCTACTGCTAAGTAGTGTCCGCGAAAGAACATGTCTCTTTTTGAAATAATCAAAAAGGTTCTTTTATAAAAGAAAGTGATAGGATAGTAATAGTGATAAGTTTTGTATACTAACACTATTAAAGACTGATTAAACAATAGCAACCAACCACTTAACCCTTCAAAGCTAAAGTGGTATATAACACAAGAAAATATTCTCTAACTAGGTATCTCCCTACGCTGTTTAGGAAACATTATTTTTCAATTAGATTCATCGGTTAAAACCCGCTAAACAGGGCTGCAAAATACCTTATAGAATGGTAGCCGACTAAAGCTTACAGAATTTATGACGATTTTGCCAACATTTAAAAAACCTCTCCTTGATAGAGGTGGAACAAAATGGGTAGCATTTATTAGGGAAAACAGTCTAATCAACGAATCTGAATGCATGTCAAAATGAGGACTTGAATCTCCGATTCAAGTTCAGTTTTTATCTCAATCAAGGCAAATCCCTGACTAATATATTTCCCTACTTTGTTTGTGAAACATTCCTCAATTATATCCATTAATTGAAAACCATTGAGTCCAATAAACATAACAGACTCTATTAAACTAATAGATTCGTTACATTTATTAACGAAAACAGTCAAATTCTAATCAATGAATTTGAATCAATGGCAAAATGAGGATTTGAATTAACGATTCAAAATAAATTTTTTCTCAATATAGGCAAACGCCTACTATATATATCTCCCTTCTGTGTTTAGGAAACATTATTTCTCAATTGATCAAAACCCATTGAGTCCAATAAACATAGTGGACTCTACTCATCTAATAGATCCATTTGTTAAAGAAAACAGTCAAATTTAAATCAGCAAATTTGAATGTATGTCAAATTAGGGGTTTGAATCACCGTTTCAACAGCAATTTTTATTGCAATCAAGGTATACTCCTACAAAATATTTTTCCCTACGCTTTTTAAGTCATTTTTTATAATTTGAACCCAATAAATATAGTATAGTCTATTCAACTTTAAAGATACGCTACATTTACTAAATGATGAAATTTACAAATCATCAAATTTGAATCAATGTCAGAATGAGGATTTGAATCACGGTTTCAAAAGCAATGTTTATCTCAATCATTTAAATTCCAAAGTGTAGCGCAAGTTAATAATTAAATCATTTTTTACTTACATTTGGCAGCATTTATTTTGCTTTGACCCAAACTTATCATAGCCTCTGCAACTTCGCACGGTTGCAAAATTTTCCCCTGGACATCATTAATCAGAGAAAAGGAAATAAAAATCGCTGCTAGGGGTGACATTTTACTTCTCGGGTGACAGTTTTATAGTCTAAGAAAGCTTTTTATTAAATATTTTGATGATTCGAGCTTATCTTATCTCTCAGTCGCAGACAAAAGGAGATATGTTTACCGTGGGATGTGTTACACGTGAATACGTTTCTATCTGTAAATCAATTATTGACTTTTTATAGCTGTCTCTATAATTACAATATAACAAGTAATTAACCCTTTGGCGCAGAATTTTAATAAACTTATGTTTTAGTATTTTGTATTAGTTTAGGTCAAAATAAGTGATAAATTTTACATTTAACATATTAACAATTTATGGTTATCAAATACAGCATGAAGCATCGGTGTCTTTTTTTCTGCTTTAATGGTAAAATCCTCCGCACACAGCTCACTTCAAAAGAATAATTCTTCAAATTTGCACTTATTTGCAGTTATTTAGATCTTTAGATCTTACACACACAGTTCACTTCAAAAGAATAATTCTTCAAATTTGCACTTATTTGCAGTTATTTAGATCCTTAGATCTTCCACACACGGCTTACTTCAAAAGCAGGGGGGCGAAAAACCACCCGTCCGCCCGTCCTCGGCGGTCAAAAATTCCCCGCGGATAGCGAATTTCTCGAATCCGACGTCCGCGCGGACGGCCATTTTCCCGTTAATGTTCGTGATAAATTTTCAATTTTTGTTATCTTACAAGAGTCTAGCTCAGTGTTTCCCAACGTGGGGCCCACGCCCCACTGGGGGGCAATTTGATTGTTAAGGGGGGCGATTCGAAAATGGACTCGACAAGAGTTTTACCCATTTGCTCCGGGACAATTAAATACAATGCTAGATCACGGTCCCAAAATTGAAAGAGAAAAAGCAAATTCTTAAATAATTGTGGTCAATAAATATTATAAATTCGTTTGATGAGACCAAAATATCAACTGGGTTTTTGGCGTCGTCAAGTTAACTAACCTCCCTGCGGCATATGGTCAACACCTCCTAGAAAGAACAGGCCTCAGCACGGGTTACCATAAATATCCCTTAGTAGTCCAAACGTAATGACATATTTTGTATTTTCAACCACTGCGCAGCTTTGTACCCCTAACGTAATGACATCTTTCTTATTTTTCGTCAACTGCGCAGTTAACTTCGTCACATCGGACTACTAAATTGATCCGTGCTGAGGCCTTTCTACTTCTAGGAGGTGTTGATATGGTAGGCTCCGCGTAGACCCCTTGGCGGTTTAAAATTTTTCTAAACTATGCAGTTGTTCGCATCTGAATGGCCCGTCACAACTTCTGTAGTGTTACGCAACATTCAGTGATAGAAATCAATACCATAGTATGTCTTTTATGCCTGCAATGCAAGAGTAAAATCTTTATTTACTGCTCACACTTCAACTCATACTTGTATTCGTGAGACTAGTTATGAAATTTCTTTATTCATCGCTAAATTTGGAAGAAATCATACTATAGGAGAGAATTAAAAAAACCGTCGATATCAGCATTTCTTAAAACGGTTTTTGAAAACGATGTAAAAGCTATGCCACTCAATAACAATACTGTTAGCAGAAGAATAGATGAAATGAGTGAAGATATTAAAAAACAACTTGCTGACAAGCTAGAAACAAGAAAATTCTCAGTGCAAATGGATGAATCAACTTTGATAGACAGTGTGGCAGTATTGATAACTTACGTAAAATATATTGATAAAGGGCATTTTGTTGAAGAAATGTTGTTCTGTAAAAGATTAGAAAGCAACACTACCTTCAAAGATATTATATAATAAGAACTACTTAGATGTCAATAATATACCAATGAAAAATATAACATGCTGCAGATGGTGCTCCTAATATGATGGGCAAGAAAAATTGCTACTTAAAATTGATGAAAGATGAGAATCCAAAAATGACTCTTGTGCATTGTGTTATTGCATAGGGAAAAGTTGTGCATAGGGAAAACTTGGTAACTAAAAACATGTCGCCTGTTCTAAATGAAGTACTTACATTCACTAATAAAGTGTATCAATGCTATTAAAGCTAATGCCAAATGTAAGCGCCTCTTCAAGCTGTTTTGTGAAGAAAAAAATGCAAACCATGTGAAACTTTTATTTCACTCTGAAGTAAGATGGCTCTCTAAAGGGAACTGCTTGAAAAGATTCATGGAGCTGTTTGATACTCTTAGTGATTTTTTAAGCGACAAACCTGATATGAAGTATCTGTTAACAGTCGAAGGTAAAGCATTTGTGAGTTATTTAGCCGATTTCTCTGAAAAACTAAATATATTAAATAAGCAACTTCAAGGAACAAATAAAACTCTTGTTGATACAAAAACGAAGATATTTGGTTTCATTGCCCTTATTGAGTTAAGTCTGAAAACAAAAACTTGGATCAGTTTAATTGTCCCCAAAAATTAAAAGTATATGATGCCGCTTTACTAGTTATTGTCGATCATCTGAAAATTCTATCGGCTGATTTAAAAGAAGGATTTTCTGATTTAAAGCAAATAGATTTTTCAACAAGGATGATGCAGCTAATGTTAGTGCATTTGTCTGTTATATGAAATATGCAGTATCAAGAAGAACTCTCAGAAATTTCAAAATGATAAGTCAGTTAAAACTTTATTTTTATATAAAAGGAGTGATGGCATGACTTTGTGAGGAAACAGAAATCAAATACCAAATTCAACCAAATATGCAAGAAAACTATTGTTACCGTTTCCATCTTTATATTTAGCTGAATGTGGATTTAGTGCTGTAAATGCTGCTAGTAAAAAAAAAGGGAAATCGCCTGGATATAACACAGTGGGTAGAGTTGAGGCTGCAAGCTAACCAAATTGGAAACTAACATAAAATCTCTGTGCAGCAAGTGCAAGGATCTCTCTAAATTAAAATATTAAATCATTATAGAAAAATCTTTGTGAAAATTATTTCGAATTTGAATTTTAGTTTTTCATTATAAGTTTCATTATAAGTTGAAATTTTACTTACTGTGTTTCGTCAACAATTTCCTAGAGATTTCTCACTGAAACCTATCATTTAAGTTTCTGATGTGAACAATTCAATTTTTTAATATTAAAAATTATGTATGTCACATAGGGGGGCACAAGAATTTTAGAAAGGCTTGAGTGGGGCATGGCACAAAAAAGGTTGGGAAACACTGGTCTAGCTCCTCACTTCTAAAATGACCCACAATACAGAAACATACTGCGCATGGTGGAATTGATGTTTTCTTTGTCTGGGAGTACTGCAGCTGTTGAAAAGGGCTTTTCAGCAATGAACTTACAAAAAAGCACATTGCGTACTGGTCTTAAACAAGAAGCGTTAAACGGAATTATGAACATCTATCTAAATGGAAAACCCCTTTCAGATTTCTGTGCAGAAGCCTGCAAATCATTGGCTTGATTGGGGAACTGACAAACGTCATATTTTATTCATTTAAAAAACGCAGTACCCTCGGATAAATTGACATTCTAGATAACTTGACCTTTGTCATTTAAATTATTTCGTAAAAGAAATAAATTATTTCGTAAGAGAAATACTAGGTCCCTATTAGTAACCTAGTATTTCTTTTATTACTGTATAATGTAATCCTAGTAACTACCAATTCATTGTGCAATTTATATAAATGTTTGTAATAAATAAGAGAAAATTATATTTTTATTTATTTAGAAGCTACGGGTTAGTTTCAAAGGAGGACGGGTACATTGTTGGACAAGCCGTCCTCGGGGACGGGTAAAATTTTTGAGTTTTCTCGAGCCCTGTTCAAAAGAATAATTCTTCAAAGTTGCACTTATTTGCAGTTATTTAGATCTTTAGATCTTCCACACACGACTCACTTCAAAAGAATAATTCCTCAAATTTGCACTTATTTGCAGTTATTTAGATCTTTAGATCTTCCACACACTGCTCACTTCAAAAGAATAATCCTTCAAATTTGCACTTATTTGCAGTTATTTAAATCTGAGAGAAACAGTTATTCATCATTGAAATTTATTTAATTTACAAAGTAAATTATTGATAAAATTTTGATTACAAATAATACAAAAAATTTCAAAATACTTTTTATTTTGTTTTATATTTTAATAGAAATATGACCAATGTGTTTGATAATCTAAAAGACTTTTTTAGTAACTATTAGACTGTTTTTCTATAATTAGAAAATACGAAATATATATTTTGTAAATAAACCCTAGCAACAATTTTACCTAGGCTCCAGTTGGGTTCAAAACTGGCTCGGTATGGGTCCTATTTGAACATGCACAGAAGAACCAATATTGGGATGTCTAGAATTTTTTAATACTGGTCCTAAAATGGCCTATAAGAGGCCAACATTGTATTAGCTCAAACTTCAATTCAATTCTACTCAAATTTCGAGTGAAAATGTGAGCCTGAACACACGAAATGAGGAACATTTGTTTTCTAAATACCAATTAATGTGCTGGGTTTTATCTTCACCTACCGTGACCTGGGGTCCCGCAGTGGACTAATCGTTAAAAAACGGTTCCAAGCATCACTGGCTACGGTCAGTGTGCGGGTGGGTGACCACTTGGATCAGTCTGCGTTGGGACCGAGGGTGTGCGGCATTGGTCCTCGTTAAACTGTGCTACCGTAAAGTGCTCGACTTCGCGCGCAGGTCGTCGGGCTACCGAAGCGGGGGAGCCATCCCCTCCGCAGAGGATCAAAACTGTGATGTCATGTCTTCGGATCATCCTCCGGGATGTTTCCCAGATCGTCGCCAATAGCCCATTGTGCAGCTCTAGTGCGATGCAAATTAACAACAACAACAACCTTGACCTGGGTGGCTAGGAAATTAAAAACGTTGGGCTGTCATTGCGAAGGACTGGGATTTGCTGCTTAAAGTCTACCCGGCGTCAGATCGATGGCTGCCAGCATGTCTGCGAAGTTAAGGTGGCTTGAGCGTAATATAGTTACATTGCCAAAATCATCCAGTTAACAACGAAATTGTGGAGACTAAGCTTTCATGATCCCTTTGGTCCATAACGGGCAGTTGCAGGGTTAATTTTTCTTACCACGGTTTGGGCAAGGGTTTGATTTCATATACTAAAAGCTGTGGGTCAAACCCAATACCACTTTCTCTTATCTCCAGTATTGTACTCGGTGGCTAACATTAAGGGAGAATCCCAAACTGTCGCCAATAGCTCATCAGTGTAGCTCTACGACTATAGCAATCACACCAAACTTAGTCTTGCAACTTAGTTAAGCTGCATTTTCTTACTGTTAAAAATTTGAATCATTTTCCGACATAAAAAGCTAACTGGTAGGTAGGTACTTTATTTATGTCGCACTAGAGCTGTACAATGAGCTATTGGCGTCGGTTCGAGAAACATCCCTGAGAATGGTCCGAAGACATGCCATCACAATTTTGATCCTCTGCAGAGGGGATGGCTCCCCTGCTTTGGTAGCCCAACGACCTGCGTGCGAAAGAGAGCACTTTGCGGTAGAACAGTTTGAGGAGGACCGATACTGCACACTCTCGGTCTCTACGCAGGATCAAAGTGGTCACCCACCCGCTTACTGACAGCAGCCAGCGGGTGCTTGACTTCGGTGTTCTACTGGGAACAGTGTCTTTACGATCAATCCACTGCGGGACACAAAATAACAGGAGCAAAACAAAAAGTAAACAGTATATATAAAATGAGGTAAAAATTTAGAAAACTTTCAATTTGGTCTTAAAAAAAAGGAGGCAATAAATCTATTTTTGTCACACCAAAAACGGAAAATTCAGGGAGACCCACTTTCGTAATGAATTTCAATCACCATTAAAAATTTGGAAATACCCTTTCGATTGTAAGATGCCTTGTAATTTTCGCTTTAGGGGTGACAAAAATAGATACAAATTTTTAGACCTCTAGAAACATGTGGTTTTTAATCTATTTTTTTAAAATTATTCTGATCCGTGGATATGCCTCATTTACCAATTAAATCGAAAGATATCTTTCCCAACAGTTTAAAAGTAAATTATTAATAATTCTCACTTTGATGACTTAAAGCATTAAACTCACGATGCATAGGCCATATTTAAAAGTTGTCATACTTGTTTAACATAGAAGCTCTAAGAAAAAAAGGCATTTTTTACAAGATTAATTATTACCTAAATTAATGGACTCGATGCTTGAGATCTATAAGGGTCAAGAGCACCCTATTCATTTTCAGAAAGTGTTAGTTCCCGAATTCTACTTACTTATAGTATCAACCTATTCTCAGGTTTCACTTCCAACTTGCACAGCCTCTTAAAAAAATTTTTTCTTCTGCTTAACACCACCACAGATATCCCCTTTATTTATGATAGCCATTAAAACAGCGGATGCTGCTATCTTCTCCTTTTTTTTCTACTTTTGCAGACGAACATCTTTTCTTATTGGTAAAACCGAGCTGGCAACAGCGATGCTTTTAGTTGAGAAACTCACAGTAGTGGTCTGTTTCCATAGTTTTGGATTCTAAAGGAATAGCTAAAACAATAATAAATTTTGGTCTAGGAGCATGTATTTTCTTAACAATAAACGGTACCATAATTAATTTTTAAAAAAAAGTACGACAGTCTGAATTTTTTTTATATTAGTAATTTTTTTTTTTATATTTCAATATTACGATGCCTGAACTTAAGTTAGATCGAAACTTGTTAGTGACTGTAGCTGTTCTTTTTGGAATGTTTTTATCAACGCACTCTAACTCAGTGAGAAAGCATGGGTAAGTATTTCTTTGGGTCGTTTTGTTTATATACTTTAATTGAAGATTTGTTTTTGTTATTGTGAAAAATTATCATGAAGTATTTGAATTCAGATTAGTATTTTTACTACTGGATCAATCAGGATATATTTATTTGAATCAATGTTTCATGTAATGCATTTATTTTTCTTGTTAAAATTCTAAAAACTATTTAAATTTGCTGCTTAAATTAGGATTTATTTATTTTAAATGAAGATTTGTTTTCTATAAAAAAAATTTATTATGTAGCATTTGATAGATTAAGGATTTTACTTTTGTATTAATAATATTAACTTGATTTAATGTTCAATGTAATGTATTTATATTTCTTATTAAAATTCTAAAAACTATTTAAATTTGCTGATGAAATTAATACAAGTTTCCTCTGTATATATGAAAAAAATTGAATGATAAAAATAGAAAGCTTATTAAAGTTCAAACATTTTCATCAAGTAATAAAAATATTTTTCATTCCTTTGATTTAATGATTTACAAGAACACAATCAAATTTAAATTTCACAATTCAAGAGAATCGATAGTATGAATTCAAAGAATAAAATTTACAAGAAGTGGGCGGAATTTAAATTTTGCAATTCAGGAGAATGAATGAAAAAAATTTTACGATTTATCAAATTCAAAATTTTACGATTGACATGAAGAGTTAAAACTTCTGATGAATTTCTCAAACCTTGAAATAGGGGCCCTCTAGTAATCTTCAGCAATGGTTTTCTTTCATCAGATTAAGAAAATATAATCCCATTTGAGTTTCTTACTTTATGAATGCAGTTTAGTTTACATTTTGGAGTGTAGCCGATTCTGATTAGTGTGCCATCAAATTTTACATTCAAATTCCTAATGCTAAAAAATGAAGCGGAAAATAAATTTTCTCGATATTTCATTTCCTAAAATTTCTCGTAAGATGATTCCTTGCATCTACTTTTCAGTCACTTTTCCTAATTTTTTATTTGATTCCATTCAGAAAAACTATATTTCCTTAAAGCATAATAAATAACCTTTCTCTAATATAATTAATTTAATTACAAAATCCTTTATAGCCAAATGATCACAAATTTGACTCTATACTGTATCCCTGTTAGACAATTGGATGCGAGATCTTTCATTTAATATGCACATTTGATTTAATTGTTTAAACAGTAAATTAAATTATGTAAGTAAAGTTATGTAAATGCATTAAAAAAACTAAAAATAACTGGAAACTATTTCTGTCGTGTTATAATAACGTTGTTCTGTCCGTGTTTAATTTGTATCCAGAAAGTCTTTTTAATTCCTTATACTCTTTTTCTTCATATTGTTGTTGTTGTTGTAGTTAATTTACGTCGCACTAGAGTTGCACAATGGGCTATTGGCGACGGTGTGAGAAACATCCCTGAGGATGATCCGAAGACAAGCCATCACAATTTTGATCCTCTGCAGAGGGGATGGCACCCCCGCTTCGGTAGCCCGACGACCTGCGCGCGAAGTCGAGCACTTTACGGTAGCACAGTTTAACGAGGACCAATACCGCACACCCTCGGTCCCTACGCAGACTGATCCAAGTGGTCACCCATCCGCACACTGACCCCAGCCAGTGATGCTTGACTTCGGTGATCTGCTGGGAACCGTGTCTTAACGATCAGTCCACTGCGGGACTTTTCTTCATATTGAGTGTATAGTATCGTTTAAGTTTGGCGCAATCTAAATCAATGCTATTACAATAATTCGAAACATACATTACCATAAGTACACACACTGAAAAATCAATACCAGACACCTTTTTCTATTTTTAGGATATTAACTTTTAATGACATGGTTGAAATGTCATACAGTTTCGACGACGTTGACAATCCCTGAGCCGATATCCCTCTCTTTAAAATTTCACTGCAAACCAGTGAGACAGAGAGAACAGCGAGAAATAAAACAAGCACCTTGCTGCACATACACGCTGGTTGTTTCGATGGCCATAAGTCTCGAACCTACGATATCGGTTCTCCACAGAGGTTGTCCTTTTGCCAACCAGAAGCATGAAAGCGGGTTCGTTTCCAACAGTAACCCTTGATCAATCTTCGTATGGACCTTCTTCAATTTTTTCTATTTGTTGAACATTTTGAAAAGGGTTTTATAAACCATTTTTTCGTCTTGAGTACACAAACCTTCTTTCAAATATATTGAGTTGTTCGGAAAGTAATTTCGTTTTTCATTGTGAGGATGAAAGACGATTTTCTTATAGTGAATAAATATATTTTGTTGAATTTTATACTGTCCGTTTCGGTCCATTTCCTTTTACCATCTTTTTGGCAGTAGTATAACTCCTAGCTCATGACTTTCAAAAAAACTGATCTAGTTGATTTTGGCCTCATTTGAAGTAAAGGTTTTGTAGAGATACGTGCACTGATCGTTAAGACGCAATTCCTAGTAGAACACCAACAGTGGCGTAGCGAGCTTAACTCGCGCCCGGGGCACAATACCTTTTTAGCGCCCCCCCCTCCCTCGAAAACCATCTAATATTATAAGTAAAATATACTCGCAAAGTAATAAATAAATTAAGTAAAATAAATAAAGTCATAGGCTCAAGCTAGGCATTAAATTTGAGACAAAAAATGTAGTTGAGAAAACAAGACTNTTTTTCTTTAATTGATTTCTAAAGTAGTCTAACTTTCAGGGTTTTCATTTTATTAAAACACCAGGCCTTCTTTAAAATGGAATCATTGCAGCGTTCATAAATTTTTTGATAAAAAATGTTAAGATAAAAGAATTTTAATATTTTTAATAGGCGATAGTTTTACATCATTGTTTCCAGATTACAAATGGAACAATCACTGTTCCTCAAGTCCCACAGTGGACAGATCGCAAAGACACGGCTCCCAGTAGAACATGCATCACTGACTGCGGTCAGTAAGCGGATGAGTGGCTACTTTGATCAGACTACGTAGGGAAAGAGGGTGCGCGGTATCGGTCCTGATTAAACTGTTCTACCTTAAAGTGATCGACTCCGAGCGCATGTCGTCGGGCTACCAAAGTAGAGACGTAAATCGCTTCTGAATAGCATCAAAATTGTGATGACACACGTGTCTTCGAATCATCAACTCTGGACTGTTTCCCAGAATGTAGTCAATAGCCCATTGTGTTAAGCTCTAATACGACGTAAATAAAATGCCTACCGAGAAGTGAATATTGTAGGGAACCCATTTCTCGTCTCCAGTGATGCTGCGCTTCAAAAAATGGTAATTTTATTGACGTTTGAGAAGCAAATCAAAGACGTCTAATGCGACGGCATAAATTTCTTTCCGTAAGAACGTGAGGATCCCATATGTCAAACTTTGGGAATAAACTTAATAGGTGCTTCAAATTATTATGAACTGTCAAATTCTACAGATTTAATCTCTCAGCAATCTCACGAGCTGTTATTCGCCAGTCAGCATCAATTAATGCCTTTATTATGTCTTCGTTAGTCTAAACTGGCGTATTGCATCGTAATGCATTTAAATCGAAATTTTGCATACCAGTTTTTTCACTGACATACTGTCAATATATCTTCTCCTAACACGTTGGATAATTTTTTTCTTGCATGACCAACTTTTTAACCTTTTTGATAGTAAAAAAGTAAAATATGCCGGAAATGTTTTTTTTTCTTTCCATTTTCTATATTTGAAAAGACTCCAACCGAAAACTACTGCGCAAAATCAGTCGAACTTTTTCCCCGAGAAAGCCTTCCTATTTCAGCTTTCAAAATTTATAATGATTATGCGACTTAAGTGTGTAGAAAAAGTTCGCTTTTTTAGAAAAAAAACGAAATTACTTTCAGAAAACCCAATAATTAAATTCTGGACCTGTGGTTACTTTAAATGCATATAAATTTTAGTTTTAATCTGACTTAATGCAACTGAATTAATTTTGAATGAAAATATAAGCAGTAAATATAAGCAGTAATATTTTGTGAGGTTTGTCAATTTGTTTAACATTTATAACAAGATAACATTTTGTGATGTATTTAAACTACCCTAAAACTGTGTACATAGGTCTCGAATTAATACAAGGCTATTGTATTTTATAAATAACTGGAATTTTTTTTCAAACTATTTCCTTTCAACGACAGAAATGAATAAAGATAACATAAAATATTTTTAATGCTCTACTAGCTGAATAGCCCTTCTCCCTACGAAGTGAAAAAAAAAATTAAGCTATCAATAAATCGGTACTGAACAAGACTACGAAATCATGCTCAAGTCACAACTAACACAATTAATAAACATAAACTAATTTCGATTTCTTTATTATTATTTTTTGTACTTGCCGGTGGCTTCACGTTATAACATTAAGCAAAACACGTTTATGGTAGTTCATCTCCTCAAAACGATTAACTGTACTCAGTATCGTTTGAAATGATGCTATTGCCGGAGGACAAATCATGATGGCTAAAATTTACTTAAATTAAAGCTATTTTTTCTGGTATTTATCCTTTTCGAAGGCCGGTAAATCACCTCTTTCCACAGTATCTATGTTAAAACTGCATCAATACTATACAGTTTTAAAACATGCATTAACCAAGTGTACTAACTTAGCCTACATTAGTATATTTAGTATTGATCAAAGCTGTACCAATCACCATAATACCAAAAGTACTCATTATCAAAATTTATTAAGCACCATTGTCGTTAATAATAATATAAAATTTTTCTTACCTTTCTCTTAAGCGATTTAGTATTATTTCCTCATTAATTTTTTTTTCAGTAAGTAATTTTTTTTTTAAATTTCAAGTACCATTGATTTAAAATTATTAAGTTGTTTTATAAATGCGTTTTTAAAGCATAAATTATTAACGCAATAAGCAAGTGATTTCAAATTACTGAGGGAATACAAATTTGGGGACTTAGTACGCCAAAGCAACCACGCTCACTTTGGTCGTTGAGTTTACCTGACGTGACCAAAAAAAAATTATTAAATATCTGAAAAAGTGCGATAACTCCTTTTTTGATTAACGAGAACTGTAAGCAAGCAAACTTCACAGTCTCTAATCTTTAAAATCATCTGCAGTTTTATTCATATCAATGGCGCTAGCTCTAAGCAATAAAAAAATTATATTTCTCAAATGTCTCTTCTGCACGATTTAATTAAAAAAATTTGAACGATTTTTAGGATCAGGAGATTAAATTGCTTCTTTTATCCTCTGTCCCAATTTCGGGACGCTAAAGTAAATAGTTCTGGAGGTATAAGAGGGACACACACACGCACGGACAAACTCTTCATTTTATTATTACAAATAACTTTACAAGTTGTTTGAAAGAAATAAAATTTAATAGATACAGGCAGCTTCTTCGAAAACGTTTAATAATCTGTGTTATTTTTAAAAACATATGTTGTTTAATAGCATTTTGGAGTCTGCTTTTCTGGTAAGGGTAGATAATACAAAATAAAGCTATAAAAATTGATAAGTAGCTCATTTCGGAAGCAGACAAATAAATACTCGTGTTTTAACGCATGAAAGTGACACAAAAAAGCAAAATCTAGAAGGTTTATAGAAACAAAAAAACATTTAAAACTATAAATACAGTTGCTATAGTCACCGCAATGATATCAAACGAAGATAACAATAGAGTTATTAAATATGCTATTAGATATGCATTAATTTTGAAAAATGTAGGTCTGAAAAATTAATTTTGAAAATGTAGTAAAAATGTAATGTAATTTTGAAAATGTAGTTAAAATGTTATGTAATTTTGAAAATGTAGTAAAAATTTAATGTAATTTTGAAAAATGTAGCTGAAAAGTGTAGTAGTCGATGATATATGGCCGTGAAATAAAATATAGTTAATATCATAGCTAATAGTACGGTCAAGAAAGAAGGTATTTCCTAGGGGTAGCAACGTTAATGTTTTAACCACGTATGTTCTTGATTTTTCAACACAAAAAATGTCTAAAGAAATTAAATTTCTTTATTGTATATACTATATATAAATTCATTTAATAAAGAAATTCTATTTCAGAACTAGAATTTGAAAAAAAATACGCTCCATTAACAACAAAAATTGATCATAAATTAATAATAAAAAATTAGTTATGTTTCATTAAAAATAATAAATTTAAAAATTAAAAAAAATTAAAAAAAGGGAACAAATGTTCCCTTTTTTAGAACTCCAGTAAAGTGGCACGGGAGAAAAGAATTTTTGAAATAAGTGTAGGATTAAAATAATTTTTTTTTACTCAATTACCCATATAATCTAGAGACAAAATATTTCAGCACAAGTAATGTAGCTTTATTATATAACTTTTAGATAAACATATAGCTTTAAATAGTAATTTTTTCAAGCGTGAAATAAATTATTTATTATTCTAAAAAAGAAAAAAAAATAACATCTGTACGTTTGCGATACAATACCTGTCTATCTTAATAAATGAATGCTATCTTGTCAATTTAGACAGAAGAAATTGTAAGATTATGTTATTATTCAATTGCCATAACTCATTGTTCAATGATTCTCCGAATTGCAGGAAGGTCTCGGGAAAAACAATTCCTTAAATGAGGCTTTTAAAACACATAGCATATATTTTCCGCTCTCTTTTATTTGTTATATGGTTATGATTAACCCTTCTGTGCCCAGCGTAGTTTCTTTTTTCAAGGAAAAAAAATTATATATATATATGAATTAAATGCAGAGAAAACAATAAAAAAAATTTAAAAAAATTTTAATAAATTTTTTTTTTTTGGATATAATTGTGTGAGCTGATGATCATATATTTTTCTTATTTTATTTTTTTCAATATTTTTTAAAAGAATTCAAAAATTTTCAGATTTGTGAATATTTTTTAAAAACATTTTTTAATAATTTTTTTCTCCTTTAAAATAATTCAGTTGTTATTTTCAATATATAATTAATATTATAATTCACAATTACAATATTTTTCGTTTACAAAAATCAAGTACATAATATGTTAAAACAATTCATATTATAGGTGGTTTTATTTTAGAAACTACTAAGTAAAATTGAATAATTATACGATATGCTAATTCACAATTATAATTCGCGTCATAAATCACAATTATAATTATTTTTCGCAATTTATAATTCATATTAATTCACAATTACAATATTTTTCTTTTTCAAAAACCATGTAAAGACAACTCACATTTTGTGTGGTTTTTATTTCAGCAACAACTGAATAAAAATGGTAATTATACTATATTCTAACTCACAATTATATTCTCAATTCACAATTGCAATATTTTTCTTTGATATAAACCACGTAAAATGTTTAAACAATTCATATTATGTGTGGTATTATTTCAGTAGCAACTGAAAGAAAATGGCTATTTTTACGATAATAAATATTATAATTTGCGATTAGAATATTTTTCCTTTAAAAAAATCACGTAAAATGTAAAAACAATTCACATTAATGTGGGATTTTATTTCAGTAACAACTGGTGCTCATATCAGGTATCGAAACTTGTTCCTTGTAAAGAAGTTAATGGAACAGAAACCTACATAGGACAAGAATTTCAGCGTTGTTGGTATTGGCCCTACACTGACACATGTGGCGGCACATACAGGTCTGTAATTATTTATACAATGTGTAATTATTTGATGTCATTTAATTTTTTCATACGTTTGTCTATATTTATAGTATAGCTTCTTGAATAGTTTTACAAAATTTATGCTATTAGAATAAACTGTTATTTAAGGGTTGTTGTTTTTTCACTCATTGTGTAAATTAACGCTTTTTAGTTGTTGTTGTTGTTGTTCTAGTGACATTTGCCAAATACCAACAAGCCTGCTTAGAGAAACCAAACGAATTTAGACAGAGGGTGTGTTTCTTGTTTTTCAGTGGTTCTATCTATGACCAAGAATACGAATTCAGCCGCACACGCGTCACAGCCCGTTTATACGTGGACCCATTCCTACATCTAGTTATTCATCCACAGATAGTAATTTTGATCTAAACCAGAGAATGATCAATCTATAATTTAGTACCTCCAGGGATATAATTTGTTATGGGAACATGGAGGACTTTATGATCCGACAAATCGTTAGGCCCTTTGGGACATGAACCCAACAGGCTATCACGACCCACTCTTTTTAGTGAATATTATTACTGTTGCAACTTATAATACAGCAAAAATGTTTCAATTACAGGGTTATATTCATTCCTGCAGTCTTTTTGGTGATTAAACTATAGCCAAATCATTTAAGAATTTAGTATTAATACCTGGGTGTTAGGCTTTGTATTTCGCTATTTTATCTTTCTATAAATCACCAACTATGGGTCTCTTCCCTTGCTTTTATGTGTCTGTTGGGAACAAATCAGTCACTTTACACTGTTAATTTTAAATTCTTGACTCAAAATTAATAATTCAAACATATGTATGTATGATCTATTAATTATACAGTTAAGCTTCTTTAGTGAAGGAAAAGTAGTTTTTTAAAAGAATTCTTACTCTTTTTATTGTTTTACTACTAATTTATAGAATCTTTCTGACTGACCGCACAGCTACCAGCTACGGTTATGACATGCAGTAAACGTATAAGGCTTTTTTTTTCTTCATTTTATCAATAAGGTCCTATGTAAAGAAATTAACAATAGAAAATAAAGTTTCATAAACAAATTCCTGACATTTCTATACATTCTAAAGATGAAGTTCTCAAATTCTCTTATTTGTCACGTAAGATATTCTAACGCCAACAAGGAAGGTATCCAAAGTGGTAAACAACAATCTGGCCCAAAAAAATTTTGAGATAGTTTTTTAGGTTAGAATGTAATATACAAAAATTATCTTGTCTAATTTGAAGTGATTATCAAGCTATAAATTATCAAAAACTACAATTTTTACTTTAAATGCGTAGTCAAATTCTATTCATCCCACAAAGGTTGCATCCAGACTTCTCTCTTTAATCGAAAACTAACATTAGCGTTTTAAAGACAAAAATTAGTCAAAAATTCTATTTATTGCGTAAAAAATCTGATTAGCTATTGCATGACCAACAACAAAAGTATAGCATTTTAAAATTTTTAGGGGAACAATTCGAATTCTAACGTAAAGTTGTTTGAAATTTAATATATAGTTTAAAATCTTAAAAATTATACTTCCTACTGATACGTTATCGTACATTTGAAATTTATGATAATCTTTACGAATATTTTCGTCCACGCTCATATTTTCAATTATTTATCTTCACAACCAAAGTGGAATAGATAAAATTTGTACATACATACATAATTTTCTAACCAAAATATGTAGGGGAAGGTAGGGCAAGATTGGACATCACTTTTTTTTTCCATGCGCATCACGATAGCGACATCTAAAGTGCGTTTTCGGAAAGAAAATATTGCTTTCTCAATATGCACAAGTTTTTTCGTCAGTTCACAAGGTGTTGCAGAAGTGCAAGCATTGTTTTGTTTTTCTTATATCGTGGTAAAATATTTTTCCTGATTTGTATGCTGATATTATTTGTTTAATACATTGCAACAAATTTTTTCAAATTTGTGGCCATGTAGTGTTATTACTGTACAAACATAATGAGTAGTGTAAATTAAAGTTTATTTATTTAAACAAATTTGCGGATATCTTTTTTAAAAAATGTACTATCCGGGCAAGATGAACCGGCCAAGATGGGACGGCCAAAGTAGACTAAAAGTGTAATATAAAAACTAAACTCTCCGGATTTGGCAAAAAGCATAAAAAATAAGGTAATATTATCAAAAAGAAATATGAACTAGCAAATATTACTTAACAAATTATTTAAAAAAAAATTATAAAAATAATTTATAATTAATTAACTGACAGACAATATTCAGATTGCTTAGAATAGGCTCATGAAGCTTGCAGTGCTTATTCCGGTTTTGGCCGCTTCTTGTGCAGTAACTGTGATGTTTAGGAACGTTTTTTTTGTTTTTTTTTTGTCGATTATTCTCTTATTCAGTGATTTTTGAAATATACGAGTAATTATGTGTCCCATCTTGCCCGGGCAAGATGGGACAATCTTTTATTTTTGTTTATGTTAAGTTATTATTATTGAACTTTATTATTTATTTATTTTCTGTATGAGATATGTAAGAGCAATGTTCCCACTATATGTTTACAATATAAAAAATATAAAATTGCTCTAGTTTACTATTTTTTGAACAAGTTTCGTTAAGCGGTCCATCTTGCCCGCTCTTCCCCTAACTAAGTAAAAGAAATCAGCTTTATGTGATAGTGGGATGTCGAGTATCTTCCTTGTAAGTTCTTCAAATATGACTGTGTTGTATTAGTGATGGTATATGGTTATATTTTTTATCAGGGTCATGAAAAGGCCGAAGTACATCACAACTTACAAACCTAAAACTGAGACTGAATGGAAATGCTGTCCAGGATATCATGGCCCAACTTGCTCTCCAGGTAAATCAGGTAAATATGTTTAGATTTAAATTCACTGTGTTTTTAATTAACAAAATTTTGTAAAGAGTATTGCAGAAAGCAAGGCACGAATGCAAGTATTTCTCTATTATAGCACTTAATACACAAATTACAGTTATTGAAAATGAAAGTTATAACTACCTTCAACTGTTTTTGATCCAGAACAACTGATAACTTAATATTGACGTACTTAAATACTGCGTATTCAAAAATATTCATGGAATGAGTGGTAGATAAGTAGGAACTTTATTTAGATTGCACTAGATCTTCACAATGGACTATTGGCGACGGTCTGCGAAACATCCCTGACAAAGATATGCCTGAAGCAGAAAGAACTTTTCTCCAGATCCCTGCAACTATGGTAGTGAGAGGTTAGAGACCGACCAAAGGACTTTCGACTCCACAGTTTTTGCGAACACACATATATATCGCATCTACTCGGTGGGTCTTAGCGAAGTCAAGGATTGAACCCCGGACCTTCTGAACTGAAGTCTGATTCTCAACCCAGTGGGCTACTACGGCCACCCGGAATGAGTAATCTATCTATAAAACTCGAATATAATGCATATAAAGGATATGTTTTTAAAAAAAACGTTCTAATCTGGACTTCATCATATTCTGGTATTCAGAGGTTGTCTCGGAAAAATTACTAAGATTACAAGAAAAACGAGTCAAGTGCTCTCTATGCTACCCATTTTTGTAAACAGTAGAAGAGTTTAATCTCGTTACGGCTAAATTTTTACGAAACTAAGAGAAAATTTAAAGAAACTAGTGGGCTGCGCCCCCTGCTCGCTGACGCTCGCCAACCCCCGAAAATTGCTACGCAATCTTATATGGTTTGCTTCGCAAACCAAGCTCACTTTGCTCGCTACTAACTTAGGTACATAGCAAATGCAAAAAATTCTAAGAATTCAAAACAATCTTTCAAATCCATATAACAACTTTTTTTTTAAAAAAAATTGCATCTTTTTAGTAAATACTAAGTCATTAAAATAAATTTGAATTCAAATAAATGACATGTAATTCGTTAAACCTATTAGAAATGTGCTATAGTATAAAATCTTAAGATAAAATTTCTAAAACTGATATCTCTTTAAAAAGGTTAAAATTTTGGCTATAATTAAGTCTATTNGTGTTTGTTTCTGTTTTTAAAAGCGCTATATGTTGAGCCACCTCAGCTAGATTTGGCATGTATCATTTTTAGCGGCAATCATTGGTCGATTTTCTAGCACTGCCATTCAGAGAGTTGTAATGAGGCTTTTTTTTGTCACCGTGTAAGAGAAATAGCAACGTAAACAAAACAAAGCAAACGCTGCCACCGGCGGAACAGAAATACAGCCACAATTTCGGAGACACGTAAGAGAATTATATATATTAGATACTCAGCTCCTGTACAAACTTCATTTCAAGACAATTTAACAATCGATATGACGTTAAAACATTAATATGAGATAACTTAGTTAAAATCTTTACTTTAATAATTGAAAAAATTATAATTAAAGCAAAGAAAAAACGAAATGTGTTCTTTTAATTAAGTTCCTCCCCCCCCCCTTCTGACTTAGTTGTATAATAGAGGTTATCTTTAATCTCTCCGCAAATATTTCGGCATAATTTATAGGTCACCATGTATAAGACATAGTTAATTGAAAAACTTAACTTCTAATTATAGTACTTTCAGTTTTCAAATTTAATGATTGAAACCTTTTTTTTTAAATCTAAATTCTTTGATCTCATAATTTTCTTTTTTTCAGATTGTTTAAATTGTTCGAACGGAAATGGATCAGCAAGGAAAAACTCTTTAAACACAAATACAGTAAGTATTGCTTATCGTTATATTCAACTATGGGTACTTAAATACATAACAGTAAAATAAGTTCTAGCCAGTTATTTTCTTGATAGAAAAATACGCAATTAAATATAGTAGAAACATGTTATACCGTTAAAAAATTAAATCAGGAGTAAATAAATTCTAGAAATTAAGGCAGATTTTAAATAAAATGACAGGGAGGCAACTTTATACGCGTTTGGGGACAATTTCTACTAGTGGTAGCTAAGTCTATGCTTCAGTGTATGATTCATTATTTTGTAAATTTGGTTTCAAAATATTTTTCCAACCACTACATCTAAATGATTCCAAAGTTCATATGAAACGCCACTTTGTCCAGCTCTCTCGTGGTAAAGCATTTAAAATGTTGGCAAAGTAACCAAACTTTTTGAACGTTACATTTTTAAATTGTCTACCACTCTACAAAATGTTCTGCAAAAATCGTTGTAGTGGGCAATCTTGCATATGTGAAAATAATTATTTATCAATATTGTTACTTAAATACACGTTCTTTAATTATTAATAAATAGTTGAGCATAAAACCCAAAAATACATCATATTGCTTAGTGACGTAAAAATGATATGTACACTGTTAATCACTTGCATGAATGAAGTTATATTTTAAAAACAAAGTATGAAAGACAGTCCAATAGACTGGCGGTTTTCAAATGGGCAAAATTGAGAGACTGTTTCTTCCCAATACACTATTTCCCTACCTAATAACATGGAAAAACCGGGTTTCGCTATGCAGAGAAGACTGCAGGTCAAAATAAAACTTTTTACGTGCAGAACCGTCTGTGGGATAGATTACAAAATGGTAAAAAATAAGTTTTCTTTGCCAAATAAAGCTTTTTTTTTTTAATCTTTTTTTTTTAATAAAAATGATTTGTTTCACTATGGTTTAAATTTCCGTCTGTTTTAAATTTGGTTTAAATCCATCTATTAAAATAATGTATGATGCTTTTATGACAAAAAAATATTTTAGGAAATAATCTTCATCTATCAAATTGTATTTGGGACTGTTTTCTTACAGAATTTTTAAACCTTTTACCGATGAAAGGAAAGCGTTTACTTTTATGTTTATGCGAATTAAAACAATAGACTAGAAGAATTTTTTAGACTAGAAGTAGTTTTTAAGAATGTAATAGTAATAGTTTAAGTGAGAGGCAGTGGATGAGTGGTTAAGGCACTGTACTGTAATGAAAAGGACTACAGCTCTATCCCCAGTGACGGCGTGAAGTCCACCCAGCTTCAGATCGAATGGTGCTACCTTGTCTGGAAAAAAAGGTAGCCAGGTAGCCTCTGCATCATGCTGAGCACATTGCCATAATCAAGCCGTTAATCACGAAATTGTGCAAGCTTAACCTACATAACCCTCTGCGCCACAAAGCGCTGTTGCTCGAATACTTTTTTAATGAGTGATGAGAAACTGTTACCGCTGGAAGAACTGCTGGAACTGTTACTGCTGGAGAGAGAAAACCAGAGCCCACCCAGGGCTGCTGCACTAGTGAAGAATAAGAATAAACTGTTAATTCCAAAACCAAATTTTACATCATATTAGTTAGTGACATGCAAATAATATGTACTGTTAATCACTTTTGTAGTTGAAGATGTATTTCGAGGGGGGGGGGCTCGAAATAGGGCATTGGTGCCTATCCCTGTAGTATAATATTTGAGTCAAACGTTTCTCTCCTGTTAGTACTAAAGAGTTAAAACACGATGGGCATCTGTAACATTAACATAAAGTATTTCGAACCGTTCAATTTAAAAATAATAAATCCTTCATTTTTTACTATTATTTTATAATTTCCATATTCCTCTAAAATTATTATTGCAATAAGAATCGCAAATAACTCATAAAAATTGTCTTAAACCTAAAAGCAAAGCAGTCTAAGAATAAATTATAGAAAACTTTATGACATCAATAATCCTATTTTAGTAGCATTTTCATCAATTCGGTTTTTAATCGTATATTTTTCTTTCTACAGATTCATCAGAAAGACAGGGCTGATATTGATCCTGAAACTCCAAAGGATCGCCCCGCTATCCCTTCCTACAGACAGAATTTTAGGAATCAGAATCCTAACGATTGCAATTGTCCCCGTGGACCACCGGGCTCTCCAGGAAATTCTGGTCTTAAAGGAGAACCTGGTAAACAAGGTCCAAGGGGTGAACCAGGAGCACCAGGCACTCTCTTTGTGCCAGAAATTTCAGGTGATGGTGTTGGTTCTGGACTACCAGGAGCACCAGGACTTCCAGGTCTTGAAGGAAGACCAGGTGAGATAAAATATACTGAACCATAATAAGATCCAAATTTGCTGCAACCTTTATATTATGCTAAGGTATACCAATTATTGACATTTTATCACTGTGACTGTGTTTTTAACATCACTTATGAGAACATAGATCATAATGCCTACTTACCTACGAACGGTGCGATCTCCAGAGAATTTTTTTTTTTTGGTACAGTTATTCCATAATCATGCTGTATTTGCATGACACAATATGGACATTATATATCAGTTCATTTATTGATATATCGATTAATGTGTTTGAATATAAAGATTTTACTATTTGCATAAAACCAGAATACAGGAAATATTTAACAAGGCTGTTTGTACTCCGGTAAAGAGGAAAAAAACCGTTTTATTTCAATCTTGTACTCAGAATTAATTAATATCCGTAATTACCAAGATTTTTTTTTTATTAAAAACAATCTTTTCATATTTGTTTATAACTGTTATAAAAACAAGATTATTTTCTTAATTTTACTGAGAATAAGCTAGATATGAAATGTTTTTTTTTTTACCAGCTTCTTCTCTTTCCCGGAGTACAAGCAGCCTTGAATATATCATTTTTTTTATCCATAGTTAAAAATCATCTAATCTTTATCCTTTATTATAATTGTTTTCAACCTCTTAAAACTAAGAAAATATATGGAAAATTAATACTAAATAAATGTTTACAATTCGAATATAAATACTATGATAATTGATACCGTCATGTTTTATTGGCTACATTTTAAATCAAAATTTTCTGGTGTGTAAGAAGTGAATTTGCATGAAATTACTTATATTAAAATCAAACAAATTATGTGAAATTATTGTAAATATTTTATATTAGAATGTTAATATTATGGTCATAGTTAGTATTGTTTCTAACTAGTAATGATTGTATTCAAAATTACTCGGAAGGCAAGAAGTATATTTGCACGGTTTAAAAATAAATTTATGTTTATCTATATTTTTCCAATTTATGCATAAAGTAAAAAACATCAGTATGATACCATGCACCCCACATTCTATAGAAAAAAAATTATTTTTGAATGAAACATATTGAGCCTGAATTTTTTTTTCAAATAAATATTGTAATGAAAGTTTTCATATAAATAAATTCTTTACAATCAACTTATTTAGAGACGTGAGGACTCTAAGGACAGAACTTTCACCTGCAAATGAGATGAACCAGGTTCGAATTCCAGCGGTGGCTGGTGGATACTAATTGTGTTTCCGACTGTGTGCTGACGTAAAATATCCTCAGTGGTAGACCGATCATTGGTTAGAGTCTCCTTGCGGTCAGGCTAACCATGAGAGGTTTTTCGTAGTTTTCCCCTCCATGTAACGCAAATGCGGGTTTGTTCCATCAAAAAGTGCTCCAAGACGGCTAGATAGTTCTAATACTTAAAATAAAGGAGTTCTCTTGTCTTCTGGATCGGGTTCAAAATCATAATGCTGCAAGGGGTTGAACATCGGTAGCTGTAAACTCAAAATCGGGTCTTCTGCTCAACGCCGCTTATAAAATGAAATAAAAAAATCAACTTAATTAATTTATATTGGCAATTTTGGCTAATTCTTCACACAAAGAGAGAGTATACATGTAATTGAAAGTGGAAGATAATTTGTATGCTAATTAATTTCTAAGTACACAACCCACAATTTTTGAATAATTCTCGCCAATTTATCATAAAAATTCTACAACTGAGCTATTTGAATTGCTTATTCATTTATTATACAGGGCCGCCAGGGAGAGATGGAATTCCAGGAATACCAGGACAACCCGGTTCAAAAGGAGATCCTGGTAGAGATGGAGAACCTGGACTTGTGGGATTACAGGGCCCTGCAGGCCCTCCCGGACCCCCCGGTCCACCAGGACTTGGATCTCGAGGATCTGATAGTAATACATATTTGTTACTCAAACCTGGTATCAGACCTATTTTTAACCCTTTGACTTAAATGCAACACTGGTGTCCTTTTTTATAAATTTTTTCTGATGCTCTAATTACTAGCAAAAATATTTTTTTAATTATAAAAAAAGTCTAACAGTTTCTGAAAAAAAAATTTAAATTACCTGAATCATATTTATAGTAATATATGAAATCGAAAAAAGTAGTTAGAAAAAATGTTTTCATTCATATTCAAAACTTTATCAATAATTGATTTTGTAAATTAAAGAAATTTTAAAGATGGATAGCTGTTTCTCTTAGATCTAAGTAACTGCAAATAAATGCAAATTATTCTTATTCTTAAAAAATTATTCTTTTGAAATTTATTCTTTTGAAATGAGCCGTGCTTGGCAGATTTTAATCTCACGCAGAAAAAGACACAGGGTGTTTCATGCTGTATCTCATACCCTTAAATTATTAAAATGCTAAACATAATATTTTCCCTTATTTTGACCTAAATTAATACGAAATAATGAAAAAAGTATGAAAAATATGTTAATTAAAATTCTGCGACAAAGGGTTAAATATATGCTACTACAACGGTTAAATTAATGTTGCCATTACAAAAAGATTTTGATTTCATTACTTTTAAAATGACTTAAAGAATTTAACAAATTTTAAACATAAACAAATTTTAACTTTTTTGAAACAAATCTAATATATATAATTCTCTTACGTGGCTCCCAAATTTTGGCTGTATTTCTTTTCATAAATGCTCATTTATTCTTAATGAAGAAGTGAGTCGATTTTCTTCTTTTCTTTTTGTGCTTACTCCATTAATTTCTGTTTCGATTCAAAATACATTTTATTGGGTTTATTACCTTTGCTTATATTGGGTTCGTTGCAATTTTTTAAAGTTTTGGCTGATGCTTTGTTGAAATTTTCCATTGTTTTATTGAAATATCATTATGTTTTGGCCGCGATTCCTGTTACCACGGTGCTCCGCGCAAACAGGAGTGGTGCCAAACATAAGTCGCCAATTTTACCAAGGGGCACCCTCAAGTTTTTTTTTACCTATAAACGATATTAGGTTGCTAGAATTAGTTTTTGAATNAACACATTTCTAATAGGCTTAACGAATTACATGTCATTTATTTGAATTCAAATTTATTTTAATGACTTAGCATTTACTATAAAGAAGCAATTTTTTAAAAAAAGAAGTCTTTATATGAATTTGAATGATTGTTTTAAATTCTTAGAATTTCGTGCATTTGAAATATACCTAAGTTAGCAGTGAGCAAAGCGAGCTTGATTTGCGAAGCAAACCATATAAGATTGTGTAGCAATTTTCGGGGGTTGGCGAGCGTTAGCGAGCAGGGGGCGCAGCCCACTAGTCTGAAAAAATTCGATTAATTCTTATTTAAGTCAAAATAACCTCAAAACAAATTTGTAAAACCGCTTAAGTGACTCATATTTTGCTAAGAAAAACTTCTCATTCCGGTAGTATTTAAGTCTTTTAAAGCCTTTTTCTATAGTTATGAAATTTCTGTATTATAACATCTCATTCAATGCAGCTAAATCTCATCGTATTTAATAGAGAAATGATCAAATAATAAACACTTCTTATTTCCAAGACGAGCTGATTATTATTATTATTATTGTTAATTCCTTACATTTAATTTTGTTAACTTTATTATAAGACTTATTGTGTGTATGAGAAGAAGTAATTACCATTTTAATTCGAAGACTTGGGCCTTAAAATGATAAGCCGCATTTCTTAACCCCTTCATGGGCCATTTATTTCTAGTAAAGGTAAATTAAAGTATTTTTTGAATTAAAATTGTTTTAAGAATAGCAATTTATATAAGAAAGAAAGAACCCATTTAGTTTATAAAAAGGCAATTTTTTTGGTGATAAATATATTTAACACGACCATATATTTCTTATTGACTTTTATTATTTTTTTTATTTATAAAATAAATTTTACAAATGCTACAAACTTCAAGGAGAATTATGTATTTTATAACTTTCATACGTTTTTTTAAACTAACAAATGATTACCAATTTTATTCAAACGCACTTCAAGAAAGCTGAAGTTATTAACAAATGGTAACCTAAATTAAAAGTGGTTAAAAAGTGGTGGGAAGTATACTTCTCACTGCTTTCGAAAGGGTTAAACTGTTCGGGAGAGCATTTTTGCTGGAAAATATCACGATTTATGTGAAGGCAATAAGATGTTTCAGTATGTTATGTTGCCTTCTAGCGTTAATTCCGAAAGCTTTCGAGTAGTTATCTGGAAAAAATATTACGGAAAAATTTGACGAAAAAACATTTATTTGGATTGAGTGTGACTTATTTTTAAATTGCCCTAAGCCCTATATGTTTTTAGCACTACAGTTATTTCATGCCCTTACTTTCTCCGAAAGTAAAAAAAAAGTATTTATGTGTTCATGGTTCATAAAATCATAAAAAATACGGTTTTAGCAATATATCCTCATTTGGAAAAAGTCAAGTAAGATTTTTAAAAAACAATTTGTTCTATTCCAGTTTTTATCCCAAGAAAGGGTGATTTGCCTCCAGACTTAGACTACGAAGAGAATCTGTCTATGATGCAGGTTTGTAACATTATCTCAAGAGGGAAACTAACCTTTCATACTCCGATGTTCCTCTGATGGGACATCAAAAGTCATTATTCTGAAATTTAAAGTTTTTATATTATATTATTTAGTAATAATTTCATTATTTCATGATTCTTAGTTATTACTTAAATGTATCCATAATGTATTTTCAATTACTTAGTGATAAAAATAGCATTTTAAAGTACTTGGAGTACGTAATTATCAATCCTTCCGGATTTCCGGATTTCGCTGAATATTTTATTAAAATTATATTAAATTTAAAAAAATTATATTTATATTAAAAATAGTAACGAAATGAACAAAATTTTGTGCTTTGATTTCTCGTAAAACTACAAATCTTGCATCGAGTTAGTTTAAAGTTTCTTTCCCATGATCATCTTGTACCTTTACTTCTCCATCATCATCAACTCATCACTCTCAACCAAACTCTCTCTTACAGCACAGAGGATAAAAGTGAAGAGTAAGATCCTCTTCTTCATCCAACTCAACTCAAGCAACGAAATGATATTTTCAATTTAATTTTTGCTATTATAATTTTGCATGTAGATGCCACTGCATATAAATAAATACAAAATATAAGATGCTGAGTTATCTCACAATGATGTTCTTCTTCATCCAACTCAACTCAAGCAACGAAATGATATTTTCAATTTAATTTTTGCTATCATAATTTTGCATGTAGATGCCACTNATTTTTAAATTGCCCTAAGCCCTATATGTTTTTAGCACTACAGTTATTTCATGCCCTTACTTTCTCCGAAAGTAAAAAAAAAGTATTTATGTGTTCATGGTTCATAAAATCATAAAAAATACGGTTTTAGCAATATATCCTCATTTGGAAAAAGTCAAGTAAGATTTTTAAAAAACAATTTGTTCTATTCCAGTTTTTATCCCAAGAAAGGGTGATTTGCCTCCAGACTTAGACTACGAAGAGAATCTGTCTATGATGCAGGTTTGTAACATTATCTCAAGAGGAAAACTAACCTTTCATACTTTGATATCCCTCTGATGGGACATCAAAAGTCATTATTCTAAAATTTAAAATTCTTATATTATATTATCTTAGTAATTTCATTATTTTATGATTCTTAGTTATTACTTAAATGTATCAATTATGTATTTTTCAATTACTTAGTGATAAAAATAGCATTTTAAAGTACTCGGAGTACGTAGCTACCAATTCTTCCGGATTTTGCGGAATATTTTATTTTTATATTAAAAATCGTAACGAAATGAACAAAATTTTGCGCTTTGATTTCTCGTAGAACTACAAATCTTGCATCGAATTAGTTAAAAGTTTATTCCCCATGATCATCTTGTACCTTTACTTCTCCTCAACTCAACTCATCACTCCCAACCAAACTCTCTCATACAGCACAGAGGATAAAAGCGAAGAACCAAGATCATCTTCTTCATCCAACACAACTCGAGCAACGAAATGATATTTTCAATTTAATTTTTGCTATCATAATTTTACATATAGATGCCACTGCATATAAATAAGTACAAAATACATAGATGCCACTGCATATAAATAAGTACAAAATATATAGATGCTAAATTATCTCACAATGCTGTTCCCTTCCTCCTGCCTTGGTGGATGTTAAATGTTCTTTTATAAATGTTCTTTTTTCTTTTAATAAAAATAATAAATGTTCTTAAATGTTCTAAATGTATAATAATGTTCTAAATGTTCTTTTTTCTTTTATACATTGAGACCACACTAATACTTAAGGGAATGGTTTACATTATGTCTATTGAAGCTAGCCTTCTTTCCCTAAGTATGTTCTTTGCTTAAGGACAATTACCAACATAATACTATTAACGATATATATTACCGGCCCAAATTTCTAAGCATCTTTTCATATTTAGCGTTCTAAAAAACGATAAAGTGATTTTAAAAGATCTAAATTCGTTCAACGACAATTTAGTACCACTATTATAAATAAATAGGACCTGTAAATAACCCTGTAAAAAGAATTGTTTTGACTTATAATATTTTTCTACCTCAAATTTTAAAAACTGTACTAAGTGATTTAGGCAAATAGACGGCATCACATTACGAACTTATTAGGATCCATTATTTTATTCTCTTAAGAAAAAACTCATAAGAGAAGCTTGAAAAACGAAATCATATACTGCGTCTATTTTCTTAAACACGTATTTTGAGCTCTGTCTGGAATTAAAAGCTTGCCGATGAAATGGAATCGACTGAGGATGCTAGGACCTGGGACTTTCGGTTTGGTATTCATACTATGATTATATATTATCATTATGTACTGTGAGCAAAATAATAATTGGACCACCCGGAGAAACTTTTAATCTAATGTTTGTCGAGAGTGTGATCTCAAATATGCTAATTAATTAATGCAGACTATAATTTAAATTACGAAATCAGTCACAAAAACGTTCTTTCTCTGAATAAACATTCCTTTTTTCTTTTTTTTTCTTTGACGGATTCTGATTTCTGATCCTCAACATATAGAGGGTAGCTGCAATCTGCGAAATATGGTCAGAATAGTTTGGTCAGGAGAGCTGTCCAAAGTTTGGATCCCTTAGTGTTACTTTTACTTTTTGCGTATTTCGCCATTTACCTCGAGAAGATTTTAAGGGAATTAAACCATTTTTACACTCAGCTAGAAAATCCTTTTATTCAATTAAAATTCTTTGCAAAATATATCTTTTACTAAATATTATTTTATTTAATAAGAGTCGAAAGCATTTTGAATTGTAAGGTATACAAATTTTTACATCATTTTAAAGAATACAATTTTAAATGGCAAAGTACTAAATTTAAACAAATTAGGCAGAATAGTTCTTGAAATTGAATTTTAAACACGTTTTTCAAATTCGATTTTGGATTTTACTATGATGTACTATTTTTATTACTTTATTTTGTAGGTGTTTATGGAAAATATGGAGAGAACTGTACGAGATGTTGAGAATCTAGAAGCACGAGTCACAATTTTAGAAGAATTACTACCAAAGATATTAGGTAAAATCAATTATTTTTTATAAATTTTAAGTTTCATTTCATTTCATTAATAATCTGGAGTCTTTTATTCTTAAAAAAAACGATAATTATGTAATAGATTTCTAATTCATGCTTTTAAACAAATACTTTAAAATATTAATCTTAGAATGATCAAATATTTTTAAATAATTCTTGTATTTTTCAATTTGGTTCAGGTCGAATGAAATTATTTTGAAATATACAATTATATTACAGATTGTAGTAAAAAAACCTGTATACTAAACGTCCACTGAAATCAATTACAGATTGCAGTGCAGGCTTTACTTTTAAAAAAAATTTAAAAAGTGGTAGAGAGAGAATGAAGAAACAAATTGTTTTCGCAAATTTTTATCCACCAATATACATTTCTAAAATTTAAAAATTTATTTAGATTTAAAAACGTACCAACTTAATTCTTAAAATTAAATTGAAATTCTTTTTTTTAAATTTCCCCTAAAAACTTTAAATTTTTAAATTAATTTAGAATTTCTAACAGCTTTATGAAAAGTTGCAGCCGCAGTTTTAATTTTTCATCCTCATATGATAGCATACATTTTAACCACTATTGAACTTTTTTCCATACTAATAGTTGAAATTCCTAGACCCTAAAAATGCCCCGCTTACACCCCCTCCTTTAACCTTTGAAGCAGATAGGTCACCGATGTCCCTTTCTATACTCATTTTTTTTTTGACGCTCTAGTTACTAGAAAAAATATATTTTGGTATTTTCAATTATAAAACAACAGTCTAATAGTTACTAAAAACTATGTTAGGTTTTTGGAATTATATTTGTACTAAAATACAAAATAAGTATATTGAAAAAAAAAATTTTCATTCATATTCAAAAATTTATCAACAGCTGATTTTGTAAATTGAATAAATTTTAATGATGAATATCTGTTTCTTTTAGATAAAAATAACTACAAATAAGCGTACATTTTAAAAATTATTGTTTAGAAGATTTTACCTTTAACCCAGAAAATAAAGAATCCAGAAAAGACATAGGTATTTTATGCTGTATTTCATAACCATAAATTATTAAATAGTTAAATGCAATAGTTTCCACTTATTTTGAACTAAATCAATATAAAAGAAAGCGAAGTATGTTTAATCAAAATCTCCGACAAAGATTTAAGATGGCTCTGTTTGAATCAGTGATTTGTCATTGGGGATAAAATACTTTTTTACAAAAAATTTTAGAAACTAAGATAGAACATAAATATCGCTCCATTTAGAAAATTTTTCCTCGTCGATCATACAAATTATAGCTCTGTATTGGTTATTGAGCGTCAAAGATGGAAAAATCTATTCAGACTCAGATCTAAATTATTTCAGTAAGCTGAAAATATATTTAAAAAATTTCATGATTTTAATTTTCTCCTTACAGAGCAAAAGGAACAGCCTCCTGTTACTACAGAGATACCTTACTCTTACTGGAGAAATTCAGAAAATCTAAACTGAATGTTTCAAGAAACTGAACGATGAAACATTTCGAAAAATTGTATACACCAAACTTTTAGCTTCAAATGACATCTAAAATTTGCAGTTTCTTGTGAATGATTGTGTTAAAAGCTTCGATTTAATAAAACTTAAAAAAAACTTCTAAGAATAAATATATTTACTTTTTCTGTGCATTAATTTTTGAAGTACAGAAGCTATGATATTCTCTATTGTATTGTATACACCCAACTTTTAGCTTCAATTGACATCTAAAATTTGAAGTTTCTTGTGATTGATTGTGTTAAAAGCTTCGATTTGATTAAGAAAAAAAAAACTACTAAGAATAAATCTATTTACTTTTTCAGTGCATTAAATTTTAAGGTACAAAAACTATGTTATTCTCTATAATTATGTATGAAATATAAAATCAACATAGCGAAATGTAGAGATGGGATGTAGTTTTGCCAGAGGCAGAACTACATCCATCAGTGAACTAAATCAATCAACTGTCGTAATTTAGGTGTTGTGAATGCAAGTAACTATTAGCACTGTTCCTAATGGTTGATATGTATTCTCATTCCTATTCGCATTCCAACTGATTGCTATCTAACTGATTGATCGTTGATGGATTGCTAGTGGTAGTAGTAGTTAATTTACGTCGCACTAGAGCTGCACAATGGGCTATTGGCTACAGTCTGAGAAACATACCTGAGGATGATCCGAAGACAAGCCATCACAATTTTGATCCTCTGAAGAGGCGATGGCAGCCCTGCTTCGGTAGCCCAACGACTTGCACGCGAAGTCGAGCACTTTACGGTAGAGGAGTTCAACGAGGACCAAATACACCTAGTGGACAGGTAAGTGAAGTGATGGCAGCTTAGACTCCACTATAACTTTCGGGTGTAGTGAACTAACGCAAAAAGTGGCAACGCCAATAGAATTTTTGTAATTTTTTTCAACGGAATCCAAGAATGTGGACAGTCTGATCATTCATGTGGCTGTTGAAATTATTTTTATGTTTTAGTGAAAAAAATTAATTGATTTCTTACTTAATACACTTAGTTCACTAACACTTGGAAAATATTTTCTGAAACTACTCAAATTCCACAGTAGCTGAAGGGCATGGGAATCAATAAGTTTGAATTTTTTTTTAAAATTTTTTTTAATACAATTGGGCCATGATAGGCAAAATGTCCCGATTGAGTTTTCTTCTCCTTAAAGAGCTGTCATGACGTTATAACCAAACAATAATTACTGATAATGTCAGTGTTATTAGTGACTTTGAAAAACGTGGTAATATTCTCCCCTTCCCTATGTCACATCTTGATGCTATGGTACTCTTCTGATTTCTTCTTTCGACTCCCGAATTTTTTTTAGTATTTTTTACCTATATATTTTATTTTCCCATTTTTCGTTGAGTTTTTTTTTATTTTTAAATCTGTTTCTTTCCTCTCGTTCATCTTGTGAGTCATCTATCATAATAGACTATCACAGTCTCGTAGTAGATATACTATCGCATTCAGCTTGTACCTATTTAAACTATTTATGTCTTATGGCTAGCAAAAGGATTTTAAATAAATTAAAACAATATTTGACACCAGACAAGTTTTACTGCCCTTTTACATGGAACAAAAATATGTAAAATTCTATGTATGTGACAGCTTTATTTCGCATATTAAGTTATTGCTCTCTAACTCTTTATCTATTTTTGTGAATAAGAAAAAAGTTTTTCTAATAAATCCTAAGATAATATCTTAGCAAAAATATGATACATTCTGTTGACAGAAAATGTCAATAGAACTTTTATTGCGTTTTGACGCGAGTGCTGATGAAATCTAAGTGAGTGAACATGACGTCTGCACAGTCTGAAGAATCAATTAAAATAAAAAGCTCAATGACTATAAAGTCATGTCAGCCAGCACTATAAATGTTTACCAATAGACAATTGGATAAATCTTAAAAATTTATAACCTATTATGGTGAACAAAAAAAAAAAGTGCGGAAACAGAAAAACATTCTTTCAAAAAATATTTTTTAATGCTTTTTTTCCCCAGCACAACTCGATATTGTTCTAACCAGCCTGCGCTATTGTGCTAGTTAGATATCAATCCAATGTGCGCATAGTGGTAATATATTCATTTTAAAATAAATTTGAGCTATGTACCAATTTTCTTCTCTGAACTCTACCATTATAATATTAAAAATATACATTATGAATACAACAGGGCTGTCAACTTTCTACGCTTTTTATAAAAATTTGTTCTAGTGGTAGCTAAGTTTATGTTTTTATGCAATACTTTTCATTTATTGAAACTTATTTTCCACACCACTGCATATAAATGATTTAAAAATTCCCTTTGTTCCAGCTCTCTCGGGGGGTGGCCTCCCTGACAGAGCGGTATCACCCGCCAAACACTGTGTGAAGCGTAGAGGTAGCGAGTTCAAATCTCTGCCTAACCCTGGATATATTCGTTGTTTATGTCCTTCTCTTAAATTGTTCTATTTGTCTTTCTACTTGACAAAGGTTTATAAGCCTCAATTGAGCAAACAAGCCTGCAAATGTATTTAATTTGAATTCTAGTTCTCCCGTGACTAAACTGTCCGATTTCACTGCTAAGATTAAAGTTATGCTTTAACCTAAAAATTTCCAACAGCGCCATTAAATATTTGTCATTATTTTTTTAATCTTCCCAGCCTGTGGCCTCAGAACTGAAATTATTATCCAGTTTGTACATTTAATTGCATCGCAATGACTACGTCCTATTTAGAAAAGTCTAATAAAAACAAGGCTAATTCATAATAAGAATATAAATAACTTTTTAGGAACAATGCATAGGAATGCGTTTGATCAACGAATTAACAATGGAAGAAAAACAAAGGAAACAACAACGAAAGAAAATTAACTATGAATAATCATTGTTAAAAGATTGCGAATTTGTATTTATTTCTTCCGTTTGCAAATTTTTCATTTTAATGAATTAGTTTTTAGGAGTTAGTTCCAAGCATTTAAGCTATTTGATGCCGAATCTAATATTTTTTACAATGACGTAAAAATTAGTAAATATATGTTTTATATCAAGCAAATATTTCTTTATGTTACATACCCTCCAACTGTTGAGAATTTTCGTGAAATTTGTAACCAGTAATGGTGAACTGAACCCGAAATTTTTATATTCAATAAAACTTATAAAAATATTTAATCATGAGATCAAGATCTTGACCTTATATCTATATGATCTTTTATCCGCTTGTTTAAATTATTTAAATTTAGTGTTCGAATTCAAAGTTCTTCTAATTCCAATATATTGAACTGTTAATGCGTAACCTTTACCTCCTGGTGAATTTCGAAAACTTCGTTACTTATGCAGTAATTAAAAGACTTTAACTTTTAACCAAACACTTTAACTTTTAAACAACAGTGCTCCATGTTTACATATTTTTAGTTCCTAGTTAAAATATTTTTATCGTTATTATATCATGGTAAACAGAATTGCATTGTTTTCACAAAATAAATTCTCATAATGAAACTCTAGGTCTACCACTTTTTATTTTTTTAAGAAAATTAACATTATAAAAGAACGCTAGACACGGAAGGATTAAAGGCATTTAAAAAGGGCTGGTTTGATAGTGAAATGAAGCATTCCCGGAAAAGTTCGTTGTGGATCTATGAGGTATGGATGCTAAGGTTCCATAATTTCTTAATGGTATGATTGTGGTCAGAATTGCGGACAGGCCGTCTTTACTTCCCGTGCGACCTGGTATCCATCGATCCGATCAATCCGCCACTGAGGATCGAACCCCAGTTCTTAACTGAAGACAGTTCAGTGTCGAAACCACTGAGCCATCGTCGTTTGACAGTACTGTTTCTTTTTATATAACTTTCGTTGAACAGCTGATCCAATTTTATGGGTTAACGACTACCCTGTACAACTCCGTAGACTTGTCATTTTGAACCCAATCCAGAAGACAAGGAAACTCCTGGATAGAGTATTGGGAGAAATTTGCCTTCTTGGAGGACTTTTTGATGGAACCAACCCGCATTTGCGTTACATAAAGAGGAAGACCACAAGAACCTCCCACGGTTAGCCTGATAGCAAGGGGACTCGAACCTATGATCCGCTGAGGATATTTCACTTCAGCACGGTGGTCGGTGAAAGCCGGATGCGGAATTCGTATCGACTGGGATTCGAACCCGGTTCGCCTCATTGGAAGGCAAACGCTCTATCCCCTGAGCCATCGCGGCTCTGACAGTACTGCTTAATTTTTTCCACAAAGAAAAAGTGCTTTTTTAAAACTTTGACGTCATCTCATTTTTCCATACTGGCTTTCAAAATGTTAAAAATACGTGCACAAGTACCGAGTATGTTCAGGTTGGTTTCCAAAGTATCACGTGAACTCGAAATTTTTTTTATTTGTTTTTATTCTGACAATTTAAGGCAAGGTTTGAAATCAAACTATCTTTTAAATACGAATAAGAAGAAAAAAATTAAATAAGAAATTGTTTTTCAAATTATGTATTGTCTGTTGCAAACTGTTAAAGAGCACAGAAACAAATGTGTGAAGAATGTTTTTCTGTAACTGTTAGAAATTCAACTGAATCAATTTATTTCACTAAATTAAATTGACTCAGTTGTGTTCTTTGTCACTCTAAAGCGATAAACACAACTAGTCAGTTCAGGATTTCTCTTCAAAATTACAAATATTTCGTCATAAATAACGTCATTTCCCTGAGAAACCGAGTACAGGTGGATTTGAACATTCTCAGTGAAAACATTAGATGCAGCAACATGGCGCAAACGAGTTTGATTGTCATCGCTTTGTGTGGTTTTTTACCAATTTTTATCAAAGCAAAAGTCGTCAGTCCGTGCGCTGTGGCAGATATTTTCATGAATAAACTACATCAAAAGAAAGCTAATGCTGCGAACTGTAAGTAAATTAAGAATATTACGGGTATGGTTTATGTTAGATTAAGCAAGATATGCAAAACGCCTAACGTCCGAGAAATGAAATCCGCGAATTATTTAATTGTTGTACGCGAAGACTGATGAAATTTACTATTTTATCTTGAGAAACTATAAAATTCGTTTTAAATGAAAGTATAAATCTAGGAATAACTATTAAATTCGTTTGAATATATAACTAAGAAGGATATTTATGAAAAAATTGTTTAAAATTTGCAATGTGTTAAATAAATTTCCAAACAAGGATATTATTCATTAAAGATATTAAATTCTGCATTTAAGAGAATGAGTATGCGTTCGCATAAGTAAAGCTTTTTAATTCCAATTGATCTTTTTATAGTGGTAGAGAAATAAAAATTAAATATATAATTACACTAAATTTTAACAAAACTTCAGACCCTGAGCAGCGTTGGCTCAGGGGATAGAGCGTTCGCCTTCCAATGAGGCGAACATTGTTCGAATCCCAGTAGATACAAATTCCGCATCCGGCTTGCACCGGCCACATTGCTGACGTGAAATATCCTCAGTAGTAGACGGATCATTAGTTTGAGTCCCCTTGCTGTCAGGCTGACTGTGGGAGGTCCCCGTGGTCTTCCTCTCCATGTAACGCAAGTGCGGGTTAGCTCCATCGAAAAGTCCTCCCCGAAGGCAAATTTCTCCGAATACTCGATCCAGGAGTTCCCTTGTCTTCTGGATTGAGCTCAAAATTAAATTACAAGGTTACGGAGTTAAACATTTGTAGTCGTAAACCCATAAAATTGGGTCGGCTGTTCAACGATGGTTATAAAATAAAATACTTCAGACCCTGACGAAAAGAAAAAAATTGGTAGTAAAACTATTTGCTTTCCATCTTTTTTGGAGGGTGAGGGGGAAATGTTTATTATTATTAGAAACTATTAATAAGTAAAACTTATATTTACTTGTAAAAAATTTCGCTTCCCAAGTGAATATGTATGATATTATTAAGGAACAAAAGGGTAGTCACAAATATTTTACTTCTTCCAAACAAAAGGGGATAGAAAGGAAACAGTTTTACTGCCAATTATCTTTTCTGGGTCAGTAATAACCCTAGTTTATACTTAAAAAAGAATTAGCTACCTTTAAAAGAATGTAGTACTTCAAAGTACCGTTGGTAAATACAGGGCTTTAAATTACTGAAGTGTATTATCCTTGCCATATGTATTATCCTGGTATTCCTCGCCATCAACCAAGATTACGGGAAAACCTAACTAACTGGTATAAAGTTTCTAAAAAGATATCCGGAAAACTTACTGCCTTATCTTTTCAATTTATTATTCTGAGAACTGAAACCTTCGCAGAGATTGCTTAACAGAAATATTATTTTTAAATGATTATGAAGGTAAAGTGGCAAATTTTCGAATCTTTTTTTTTCTTCCTCTTCTTTTTAAAAATTCTGCTTTCATTTATTTGTTTTTCTGGGCGCTGGTCATCTTAGCTAATTGAGAAACAATGATAGATCACTTATTGGATAAAAGTAAAGTTATTTAAGTAAGAAGTTCGAAAATATACTGGGTAAAAGAGCTTTGTTTTAAATCAATTTTTGGAGACAATAGAGACGCATGAATTTATCTCGGCAAGTTCGAAATATGTTTAAATCTTCGGGATAGGTGAGTCATACATACATTCATATGGAATACGAATGGAAAAATTAAAAACCATTAATGCCTGGAAACAAAAAGTTGTTATTATATAAAAAAACTTTTATGTTAGTGGTACCCCCTTTTTTTATCAAACTAAATACATTTTCCATTAATTATTACTTTAGCTTTAAAAAAATTTGCACTGTGTGTAGACTTCAAAATCAAATATAAATATAATTATAGTTAATATGTTATGGAAGATCGAACTATCTAGTTTCTTCAACAACAACAAAAAATCTTAATATTGAAACACTTGAACTACCACTTCTTGCATTTTGAAAAATAGAATTGTATTTTTAAAAGGAAAATGGGTTAAATATGGGCATGGTTAATTTGAGGTTTACTTTTTCTTTTACTTTAATTCTAACATATTTAATCAATGTTGGTGCTAAGTATAACTATATAATTTTTATCTTGAGCTAAGTAGTAGTGAATCAAATAAATAGAGCTATGCATTATTGCCTTATTCACAAGTAAACTGTCGAAGAAATATCTTAGCTACCAGCTTCATCTTTTTTACATTGATTGCGACCATATGTGACCCAGATGTCTCGAAAAGGTCAATTGTAGTTATAGTCAGAGAGTGATATGCGATGGGAACGATTCCCCCATGAAATTCAAAATTTGTTTCAAGTCAATGAAATAAGAAACTATGTAAAATCAAAAAGCATCCAACGATTGGTACACAAGTAAAGAATAAATAACAACCAACGGACCAAAAATATCCTTAAAAACACACCGTTATTACACTTAATCATAAATTCAACATGGTGTTTTTCTCTTTGATGTTTTCAAATTTCTTATAGCATATCAATTGTTTCATTATGCCTTCAGTCTAATACATTTTCCCACCTTTAAAATCCAGTTGCCTGTCTAGCAAAATATGCGAGTGGATTCAATACGCAAGCGGTTGGAGAAACCCACAAAGATGGCAGTGACGACTTCGGAATATTCATGGTAATAGTATATTTAACTACATTGCAATCTTTAACCGTTTCAGCGCCAATGTTCCATTTTTGGAACATGTATCTTTTTCAAAATGTTAAAGACCAACTTAGATCTTTTATTCTTAGACATTGCAATTAGAGAATCTGAATATTCCTATACATCAACCAGGATATATTAATAATATAAAATTATATATCTTGTAATGTATATCCCGTTCTAAAAATTATGCATCAAACTCCTGGTACTACTCTATCAATCAAATATGGCACTAAAACTCAAAAGATTGCTCAATTTATCCATGATCAGCCCCTTCCTTACATATGCCTCACCAATCTTGACAAATATAACACAAACTCAGCTGAACAAATTAATAGTCTGCCAAAATAAAATACTAAAAAAGATAGCAAAAGTCTGATGGTTCGTAAGAAACTACGCAATACACCCCAAAATAGATGCAATCGACGAACATATGGCAGAATTAAATATCAAATTCTATGAAAAAGCCACCTCTTTCTCTGCAGCAAACTTCAAAGAAATATTCCTCTTTGAAAATTTAACTGAAGACAATAACATCAGACCAATAGCAGCATACTATTGCAGTAATTCATGATAGTGCATAGACATCAATAGCATATACATAACCTCATTTTTACCATACCAGCTTAGCACAAGTTACACCTCATATTTTTACATTATGGTCTTACCACCCTACTGCATATGACTTCACTGTCAGAGCTCAATGTTCATCTATCGACATGAATACTCCGTTACTTCATTTGCATTCCACTGCTTCATCGAAACACCACAAAGTTCAAGTTGGAGACAAATGGGAAAAGGGCCGCAAACGGACTCAGCTGCCCAGATATTTAATACCAGCTCCATTCTGTTCTAAAATCGAGTAAATTATTAAACCAAATCGATTATTAATTGTACAAAATAACAATATAATTTAAATGTAAATCTCTAACCATATTTTTATAAAGGCACTTTTCCCATTACTGCAAAATAAGAACCTGGTATGCAAACGGTTAATAAACGGAAGAATACAGCGGGTGTGTATGAAAATTGGAATCGGAAATGGAGCTTGAAAAACGAATTTGATCCATTTCCTTAACTTAATACATTGTTATAAATTAAACGGTCGACTATTATGTTTTTTTTCTTTTTTTAGTACTCAAAAGATAATCTTCGTGATGTTTGCAAGCGCTCTCTTTGGTCAAAATCGAGTTTCACAGAGAGTTGATTGCACGTTCTTTGGGAATTTTTTTTTATCTTTAATCGATTATAGCTGGTTGTTGTTGTTGCTAATTCCCATCTGGTCTGATGGGGTCAGACCAGATCAATAAATCCGTTGACATTAAGAAAATCCGAAACCAGAATGGGAGAGGAATGAATGTCGTTCCAGTCCAGCCCTAAACAGTTCAAGATGTGCTCAGGTGATGCCTGGTTTTGTTGGCATTTAGGGCAAAGAGGAAAGATCTTTTGATTAGCAGAAAATGTGAGACTTTTCAGGTGTCCATTGGCCAGTCGGGATAAGAGTATAATTTTAAAGCAATGAAGTGTTTTTAATCAAATAATAATCATACCACCTCAGTCTCTTGGAATCGTTTTTTTTTCTTCTTTTTTTTATAATAAACACAATAATATTTTCCAATAAACCTTTAACACTAAAAAAATATTTGTTTATTTGTAAAGAAAAGTGTTTCTCTAATAGCCATTTTCAATGTTTGTATTATTTG